ATAGTTTTTCTTATCGAGTTTTGAGCCTTCAGCCCTGTAACCAAGTCTATTATCCGTGACTGACCCACTCAGAACAGTAATTTTAATGACTGTTTTTAAAGCACCGATCCATTTTTTGTTGTTCTAATCGAGAGCCAGAAATAGGCGGAAATTCGACTAGACTAGGAAAAAGATTAGTTTCTATGTATTTGCTATTTAGTAGTGTTAAGTTATGGCGTCTAACGGTCGTACAGTTAATGAAAGTCAATGATGCTAATTTTCGTTTTGAGTGAGTCGGTAACAGCTAGCAGGTCGAAGGTCAGGAAACGTAGGTTTTCAAGAGTCTTGCGGGTCTAAAAAGCGTTTCAATCCACGGAAAATTGCTATGTATGATACATAGAAGGGGGGAGGGGGGTTCCGATCCGCGAATCCCATGTCTGCCCCCCCCCCCCCCCCCAGCGTGCTGCCTTTGGTATAGAGCCAAGAGTTGGAGCTTGAGCCCGATCCGAATTTCGGGTCGTGTCGGGCCTGAAATGTCAATCATTACGTTTGGGTCGGGTCGGGATTCTCTATCGCCGACTTTTTTTTTAAATAAATATATGTTCATAAAAAATATACTGAAACTATGTGTATGTGTTTTTGGGCCCGATCTTACCTCTACTTTGGTACGCTCCTGTTGTGTTAGATATGGCATGTACGTATTAAGGTAGAATGATATAGTAAGGGTCGCTGAGTATATAGAATTTTTTTTTTTTTTTTTTTTTTTTACATTTGTGCTTGAGAGAGGAAAGCCGAAAAGACCGTCTCTTTATATAGAAGGAAAACTACAGGATTTCGTTCCAGATGCATGCACACAAAATCAATACAGGGTGAGGAAAGCCGGTAAGATGGCTCAATCACAGAATGGGATTTTCATATTTATCTCGGTGCAGGGTAAGTCCCTAGCCGGTGCCCCCCTACTCTCGACAACATTCTTTTGCTTCTAATGTCTTGCCCTCAGTCAATCAACTTTGAGAACTACCAACTTTGGGCCATATTATATCGTTACGAGGGCAGTTATTGGTGGCATGTTGTTTGAGAATCACTGCCATAGATGAGCGAATATCGAAAAAGCATTAGAGGATATTTATAAGTGGTATCGTAAGTGCGCGGTTACACTTTAGTTCAATATTGCTGTTTTCAACGTTTAACCTATTAATTTGTTAAACTCGCCATGAATTACGACTTCGAGTTTTCCGTTCTAATTTCTTTATCGATTCCTGCGTTATCGACTTCTCCTCGGAAACCATTGGCAATCCATAATACAAATATGACGTCTTATTACGTGCCAGGTACTTCCGCATGCTCATGGAATTTCTAAATCTTCATCAAACCAGTAAACGGAAATAGTGCCACTCGCACGCAACCACATTTGGTCCAATGATGATTATAATGGTAAACGTAAGCAAAACGGTACTCATGACCCCTGACCTCCATCCAAACAATCAAAACTTACGCCTCCTACTATTCTAAAAGCATAGTTGTGAAATACTTCCCACTAAAACTAATTTTTATTTCACGAAGATATCGGTAAAAACTGACATGGGCAAACTACATCCCGTTAAGTAATTCAATCTGGCCCTCCCAATGCTGCCACAACCAAACTAAACCAAATTTTGATGTTTTAGCTAAAAATAGCTGGGATTTTGGAAGGAAGTTGGTAAAATTGCGATTAAATCATGTTTCAGGCACTGGGATAATTGTTTTCCTCTTCTGCGACGCTGTAAATATTGTTCCTAAAATGTAACTTTCACGTCACACCTAAATGCCCCGTCTGTCTAGATGGGCAAAAGTTTTGGCCGCTGATACAATAACTATGCACATCGCTGCTGTAGACTTAGTAGCAATGATCGTCAAACAGTGGCGTTAGAAAAGTTAGCCACGGAGTGGATACTCGTTTGCATTTCTAGAAGCTTTCTACTGTGTGGGAATTGATTACGAGTATTGTTGTATATTGTTTAATATGTGGAGTGAGAAACGCGTTACCTAAATTAAATTTTGTACGATAAAAAAATTTGTTGGAGCTACAGTCTGTTAAACTCTTGATTCTTGTTATCTTAGGAGTAGATTGGTTTATACAACAAATTTAGTTTGTACAACAAGACCATGCTATTACGCGTTGGGTGTTGAAATGCTGTCGCTCCAGAATTTTGTATACCAATATGGAGGTAACTAATTTTTTTCGCCTATTTTACATCAAGTTGTGTAAAGGGACTGAAACATATGGGCAGAGGGTATATTCACTTGGCTAACACAGACAGTCCCGAACTCGTAATAAAACAGAAATAGGAAAAATCGGAATAAAATAATGTCCTCACCCTAACCTGGTACACATACTATTGGAGTAGCCATATGCTCATTCTCGTTGTGATGACGTATTCCATAACAAAAAATGTTATTCTGGGATTTACGGGGGTATATATTCAGTTCTTTGCAATGATTAATTAAAAATGATCTTGGGACCTCATGGCGGGAAAATATATATTAATAAATGTACGGCGGTTTCGTTTTTCAAGCGATCGTCGCAAAAGGATAACCGCTTACTCCATTAAATACAAGGTATGCTAGTAAACGTATCTTCATGACAAGGAAAAATAGTTTCACGGACATTTTATTTTGCACGTTCACGTTACCTGTAGGTGCCATTATCGAGATTAGAATAGTTTGTTGGGGAATGTTTGTGTAATAGGCCAGGTTTAGTTTATAGAAAGTATTGTGATGTCATATTCCACAATATATCTACTCATATTATGACGTTACGTTTGGAATTATTACGTCCTGTTTCACAATATAAAGTCAAAATTTTGTTTTGTGACATCACTTTTATATTACATCAGTTTTAGAATTGTGACATCACATGTCGCAATTAAGACGCTTTTGTGACGTCGCTTTCCTATTATGACGTCACCTATTGAAAAAATATCTTGAAATCCTCGCTACTGATTTCCAAATTCACGTTTCTTGTGTCATACACATATCAACGTTGCATTATTATTATTGCCTCATAGTTGGTTAGTCATGTCCTCCCGAAAGGTTAATTTTGTTATATAATTTAGGAAGCCTAATATCTGTCATTCGATTTTTTAATTTCATTGTATGATTAAAGAAATCGTATACAATAGCGTAATATTAATTTTTTAATTATGACGCCACGTTTTGAATTATTACGTTACGTTTTACACTACGATGTCACAGTTTTTTTTATGACGTTATTTCACTTTTAAGTTATTTCTTTACCCCCACTTCCGATGAAAAATTAAACACACGTGTTTCGACGCTAATTGTACATAGTTATATCAAAGTTCTAATTTAAATTATTAAGGCGCTATTATTATAAGTTGGTCGTCATATCCTTCCGAAACTAATCGGGGAAAGATTAATTTTAATATATATTTAAAGAAACCTGATATCTGTCATTCGAGGTTGCTGGTTTGACACACAACACTCTTATAAAATAGGTAAAATCGACTTGTATTTCACTTGTAATCGACTTGTTCGCAGGGATAATTCTATATGCAGCTCTTTGAACATCAGTATTTGCATGTACTTTTCCCATCAGTACTTTCTACTATAGGTCTTAGAGTGACAGTGAGTGCTTGTTGCTTGTTGCTCTTTTTCGGTATCCCTTCCACTGTGAGTTGAAACATATATATATATATTAACATACCCGGGGGCCTACCCAGAGGGGTTGAGGGTCGAACTCCCAACCCTTTTAAAATTTAAAATCGAAACTTTTTTGTACCATACTGGGCAATTTGTCGCAGCTTGAAACAATTTTTAGATTATCAAGACTCTTGGAAACCCAGTTTCCGGCAGGACCAGCTAGCAGATGGTTCTCAACCAGTGGGCCATAGAGACATTTTCAAGTGGGCCACAAGTTTAAAAATCACTTTGGTCATTGAAAAGTTTAGTTTCATTTGTGTCATTATAGTCAAATTTTTATGGTAGTAGCAATGAATGATGCTGCTGCTTTTCATTCTAATTATTAAAGTAAAAGTATTTATTTTTGCAAACAGAGTCTTGTTTTTCTTGTAGTTTTCCCTCTCACGAGAAAGGTAGTGGGCCACAGAATTTTTATGCAACGAAAGTGGGCATGGAAAAGGTTGAGAACCACTAGTAACTGTTTCTTGCTCTAAGCAGTTCAATGGTAGTGGGTACAGCTATACTTCCGTAGTATGTGTACCAGGTTAGGGTTAGGCCATAATTTGATTCCGATTTTCCCTATTTTAATTCTATCACGAGTTCGGGACTATCTTTGCCATAGCGAATTAAATATACCCCCTGCTCATAGGTTTCAGTCGCTTCACACAACTCGATTTAAAGTAGGCGAACAAAATTAGTTCTTTCCATATTGGTACACATGCGTCTGGAGCGCCGAAAAAGTATGTCAAAAGAACAACACGCATGGCCAAGTATAGTGCATGGTTCTTATATTAAACAATACTAACCTAATTTACGGTTAAATGACACTATTTTTGCTGATTTCTTAGAAGTAATGATGGAGAGTTTTCGATTCTATAACCAATTCTTGTCATCTTTAATTAATGAATAAAGAAAATCCATTATTGTCGTCAGTTTCCTACTTCCGGAATATACGTCACACAACGTCATAATTAATTAAGAAATCCACATTGATGCCTAATATAACCTCTGAATATTCGAACGAAACCGAAAACCTTTCAAGACATAAAAGCGCTTGATAATTGCACTTAGAGAGTTCTTAGACGCGAAAGAGCATACTGGTGTCACATAGGATATGAAAGAATTTTCTAATCAGGCGGGAATTTGAATCATTTACTTTGTATTCGCGTGTGGTATTACTTATATTTTCTACTTCTTCATTATTTAACGAAAGCAAATAGATGAGTAGCCCGGTTCTAGTCTCTTCATGACCATGGGTTTTTGTTTTGAACAAGTGGCCAAAGATATGTTAGATTTGCTATTTTGTGTTTTTAGATCACGAGACTTTTACAATATTTTAGATCGCCAAGCACTTAACAATGCCCTGGACAAGCGGCCACTGTATTATGTAGAATATGCGGTACTTCCGTAGAATGTGAACCCAGATGGCGGACACCAGTACGTAGTATGTGAACCAGGTTAGAATTAGACCATAATTTTATTCCAATTGTTCTTGTTTTTTTTCCAATTGTCCAATTTTTACTGGTTGGAAAAAATGAACTCGACTCTAAATCGTAGATTTTTTAAGAGGTAATTGACCACGCTATTCTAAACAAAGCACGTAGACTTTACGTTTTTTTTTACATTGCCACCAGTATTGTGTATTTATTTGTTCAAATATCATTAATTTCGAGTCCGTCCTTGTGAAAACTCGTTTTGTTTGAAGTACTAGAAAGTTTGCACACACTTATTAAAATATTCAGAATGTTAAGTTAAATTGCCAAGTTGTTAACTATAATCTGAAGAAATTTAGACGCGGCCGAGTGTGGGGTAATGCTAATCTTGTTTAGTGGATTGAAATTAACTTAACCTCACATTTGGCCAGGGATAAAAAGTGAATTTGTACCAAGGGAGTTAGAACCATTACTGTAAGATGTTGGTTCAATTTCCTTATTTTGTTTGCAGTGTAAAGAAGGGTAGAAAGGGTCGTGATTTTGTAAATCTAGTCAGGTATCGTAATGATGTATTATCGTACAGTGTCGGTGGACTGATCTGAACATAAATGAAGTAAAATTGGAGTTTTTTTGTGGGTTAGTAGTATCGTTTGAAAGTATTATCCTGAGTACTCCTGTAGTTAGGCCAAAATTTTATTCCGATTTTCCTTATTAGGTTTCAGCCCCTTTAAATAAACAACTTGATGTGAAGTAGGCGAACAAAATTAGTTACCTCCATATTGGTACACCTATTTCTGGAGCGCCTGATTTTAAACGGGCTTTTAGCATAGTGTACTTCGTTTAATATGATAACATTTAGATTGTATGAAGTATGAGCTATCATAATATCGTATGGAAGTAATGCTCTTAGCTGAGGATTTGTTATTATATATTAAATGTTAGAGTAAGCATATGAATAGTCCATGTATCTGAAACAAATAACTAGATAACTATTCTCCTACCCGACGAGGACCCGACGGACAAGAGGCCATGGTATGCTACATGATTAAGATGTCTTTAGGGCTTTCCCGCCGAAAATGTCACCATATCTATTGTATAGCACTCCTGAGATAGCCTTGTCCAAGTACATCGATTTACAAAGCGAAGTGAGAAGTCGAAATACTTGAGACACTCAATGTCAGACAGGGTCGTAGCTAGGCATTTTCATAATATGGGTTATAAAATTTCTAATTGACAGGAACAGATTATACCGTTTCATCTTCCCTTTTTGGAATGTGTCAAGTCTCGCGCCTCGCCTTAAAAATAACTAGCTAACATTAAGCTGCAAATAATAGATAGTAAGGCGAAATTATGTTTTAGTCAAAAAATACGTGGATGGAATCGCAATCTCTAAGCAGTAAAGAAATGTAAATGTCTAAAATAAGGCCAGCGAGATCAAATCTAACAATTGTAACAAATATTTTTATTTTAAATTAGCTTCAGGCCTCCTCAACAAATCGACTACGACACCTTCGTGGGGCGCCCGTCACCGTTTAAGAACCCCTGATTTAGAAACAATAGAAATTAAAACTGGAATGGGTGATACTCGGTTCCATTACATTTGAACCAACGTACATTTGAACCTACGACAATTGCACCTATGGAAATATTTTTTTTGCGGATATTTGAACGCATACTAACCCTAACCCATGGATTTTAGCACCCGCATATAGATTGAACCCGCAGATATACGGGTGCAAATGTATGGGTTTATATGAACGGTCACCGTGATACTCAAATAAGATATTTTTACCGAGGGTGTAATAAACTAGTCAGGCAATTTCGCACCAGTTCTAATTCAGCCCCAAGGTCAAAGTTTATTACGTAGGTAGGAAGTACATTTATAAAACGACGTGATTTTCCTTAGTGCAATATTTCAATTTAATTTCATTCTCATTTAAAGTTTTTTCAGAACTATTCACAATTTTATTTAAATTTTTATAAATTATACGACATCATCAAATGACCATGACAACAACGGATTTAGACGAATGGATTAGAAATTTACAGACGACTGAACCGCCTAAAGTATATTACGGTCGAGACGGGAGACCTAGTTCCCGCCCTGTGCCAGAACCGGCGCCTCGTAGAAATATTGGAAATAAACCTGGGAATAAATATAGGCCACCTAGGAATATAAAAAACGCCGAGGGAACCAATACAGACTCATTTTACTACGTTGGTATGGACGAAATTGAGGAATACGACAATTGGCCAGTACACGCCCAAAACACACCCCTAAATTTGAAATATGAAGAAACTGGGCGCGATAATTTTGACCTAACAGTGACAGATAGGCCGGATAAAAACCTCTTGCCAGAAATTTCTGAATTCCGTGGTTTTGCAATCCTAAATCGAGCAAGAAATTCCGAAAACGTGCGGAAGTCTCCGAAATCAAGGGACGTTTCAAGAAAACAACACAACGACCCCATTATGCGATCCCAATATAATACAAACCAAAACACAAATAAAAATCTCACAGGCATTGATCAAAAAGATAGTCAATACGTCACGGAAAACGACGTGGCTATAGTAGCTTTGCCGGATATACCGGATTCGACTCCAGCACCACATGTGCATTTAGCCCCAGTTGGGCATCAATCACCCCCAGAGAAAGCACCGCTCACAGTTCCAGAAAGTCGACGGCCTGCATCGTCTGTTTCCAGCAAATTTAAAGCGGAGAACGTTTTCAGTCGCAGGAATTCAACAATGCCAGAGACGAGACGCGTTCCTCTGCCGAAGTCAATCTTGAACGAGATTGCAAAGACTATACCGCACGACGGTAAGTGTGTTTAATAATATATAACTGGGAGAATGACCTAGAGCAGGGGTGCGTAAACTTTAATAAAGGGGGAAGGCAGATACAAACAACTGGGTAAAACCACGGGTCGCTAATTTATTTGGCATAGGCTTTCTAGTAGTTGCAGGCACAAAAGTTGGTACTCCTGGAGTATGCGTACCAAGATGGCGGACACCAGAACGTAGTAGGTGTACCAGGTTAGGGTTAGGCCATAATTTTATTTCAATTTTTCTTATTTTAGTTCTATTGCGAGTTGGGGACTATAGCCAAGTGACTCATGTTGTATTTGTACCTAAAATTATGGCCTAACCCTCACCTGTTACACATATTACGTCCCGGTGTCCGCCATCTTGTTACGCATACTACAGGAGTATCCAGAAATTTTGGTTATTGATCTCACGGCATGCGTTTTTGCTTCGCACAAACTAGCTGTTAGGGCATTGTAACGTCATAGATAATAAATAAATTGGACTCGGGCATAGGCTTTGCATCGCAATTGGAATTACTCGCACGTAACAGATTAAACTAAAAACTATGCCTATGTCGGAACTTTTCATTACTTTCTCACCATGCAAAACTACTTTATTTACTCAATCATGAATTGGTTTTCAACTCGTGTTATGCGTTAGTTACGCTTGTATTAATAGGGCTGAGCATTTCCGAATACCTGATGATTTCAGAATCAAATCGAATATTTTTTCGAATGGAATCTCGAGTAATTGGAATATATGTAGTCGTATGCGACTTTTTTTTATTGTAATTGGTCCTTTCAACAAATGAATTACTGAAAACATAGAATACATCACTCAGACAGATTGATGAGCGTTTATGCATAATAAGAAGTACCAGTGCGCGACTTTTGTGTATACATATGACTGTAAAATTAATGTCTTATTTTTCTAGTTTTGAATGCAATCAACACGATGCAAGATGGCGAATCCTTACTGATGGTCGACCATTCTCGATGGGTGACACGCACTGTGAACACGGATTGTTACGTCACACCTGATATGATTCACGTGACTTTTGTACGACGACGATGTTGGATGCCGAGTGTTCGATGTTGCATGATGGAAGACACTTGTGAGTTTTTTTTTGGAATTACCTCATATTTATAATGTCATGTGTTTTTAATTCGCTGACGGAATTTCATTGTGGTTTTCCTAGATTTAGGAATCTTTTTAAGTAAAGTTCTTTTCTCGAACAAGTCTCCAGACAACACCAACTAATGAACATGTCTACCTGTCCATGCATTCATGCGAAATTTTTTCGTTATCATTCTTTTCCCTGATATCATTTTTATGGAGTGTTTCACACTTTCTATTGAACAAGTCTTGGATCTCTTGTACAAAGACCCCCGGCACTAATTCAAAATTGTGAGATATGAGAAAGACATCCTCGACACATTTTTAAATAACAAACGAGTAATTATCCAGTTGGGGTTGAAAATCTGACGCAATCTGCATTCCTAACCGTAACTAGCTAGTTACTTAAAGTTAAAAAATTAAACAAATTACAATCAATTTTTTTTTAAAATAAATGCAGTCAGCGCGAATGATAACTAGTAGAAATCATTACCCGTGGCCATCAGAGAACCGCTCGTGCCTCACTAGGGCCAGTTTGAAAATCCCTAATATAGACCATCGCAGCGAACCAACTTTCTTTTTTCCAGAATAAAACGTTATTCTTTTATTCTAGTTGATATTCGTGATATTCTAATGGCCAGAGCCGGCAAAGATGGCCTTCTCCGAGTAATCGACAAAGACTTACCAGAAATTCGATGTTTTTCGATCGTTTTTGAAGACAATTCCCAAAAAGCAATAAATTTTGTCGCCCCTTCGGCTGAATCGGCAAAATATTGGGTGAAATGGATTAACTATATAAAGAAGAAACTCGAAAACTTGATACCGAGATTGAAGCACGAATTATATCCTTTTCTATAAAACTTTAAGCGGTGATAGTTTTTCAACAAAAAATTTGGTGTCCCTTTTTTAGACATTTGAGTTTAAGCAAGGGCATAGAACAAAATTACATAAAGTAATTCCCCGAGCGCTCATCTAGAATTGAATATAATATAGATAGTAGGGTTGCAAGTGTGCTAAAAGCAAGGTCCCGATCCTCGAACTTAAAGAATTGTTAGAACAATTGAAATTCATTCGGCTTCCGGGTCCAGAAATTTCCCGGTACGTCTCAAATACTACCATGGGAACTTTGAACTCTGACTCTACATTCCGAAGTATTTTGTCCTTAACTCTCCTGTTTACGTTTCTGTGGGAAATATTCAAGAAAGCCGACGTGAACGGGGACGGCCTTGTATCGTATCAAGAAATAATGCAACTGCTACACGAAACTGGAGTGCCGGTACTGGGTCGGAACTTTCAAGAACTTTTTCATGTAAGAATAGAATTCTATCTATTAATGATGATCGCATAAAGGTCGGTTTTTTCCAATATTTTCTTTTTTTTTTCATTTATTTATATTCAAAGCAAGGTCACGCACTCACTTAGAAATAAAGGAGGGTTATCGGCAATTCAGCAATTTTTTAATGAAATTTTTTTATTTTTATTTTTGATGAAAACAAGTGGAAACACTAATCTCTGTGTATAAGTGCATACTTTTGCCTACTTTTCCTACCTACCAGAAGACAGCAAATATGGTTGATGGAATAGTTGAAAAAAAAAATTGTCATTTTTACTTATCAGAAATGAATTATCTAAAATTTGCCGAGTAGTCCAATATTTCCGTGTGGGATGAGTTTTAATGACGAACGTCCACTTGAATGTTCCCACTAAACTGTTCTGGACAAGGCAAGGTGTCCAGTAGCAAAAACCACATATAAGGTTGACAAATAGTTAGAATTTTTTTTGTCTTTTTGCATTATCAGAAATGAAGAATCTGAACTTATTTCCCCAAATCCTAATTTTTCCTCGTGGGATGAGTTTTAATGACTAAAGTCGCTCTGAACAAAGCTATGGTTAAGCATAGTAAGACTGTAAGACATAAATTTTCGAATTCTATTTTTACTCGGTTTTCAAAAAGACCGCATACAACACTCTGTCCCCAGCTGTCTAAACTTTACTTAAAATATCTACTAGCTTACACAATACCTGGTATGAACCACTATTTGAAATCGACATTTGAGAGTGGAATATAATTGGTCCACGTATGAGGAAATATAGTTTCAGACTGGGTAGCGTTCAAAGCAACAATGGCCGTTCGTTTGTTTGATCTGCGCCAAAATATGAATTACCGAGCGTCGCTGCCGACGTAAATAAATGCCACACACTTCAACGTAATGTTTGTGCGTAAATAACAGTGAATGGGGGATGATAGGAGAAACCTAAATAGCACCTGAAAATTTTTCGACTATCATATAAGTTATTATCGGTTTAGAACTGAAGGGGCCCCTTAATTTGAAGGTGAGAGTGTAGAGTCTCATGCCAAATACGGCCCGTTGGGTAATTCAATCTAACCCACCTGATGCTGTTAAAACTAAACTAAAACCAAATTTTGATGTTTTAGCTAAAAAATACCTCAAGGAAATTGTGTGATTAAATTTGGTTTTGGCACGAGGCTTATTGTTTCCCACTTTTGCTTTTGTAACACTGTAAATATTGTTCATAAAATGTAACTTTTTACGTCAAACTCACATAGCGCGACTTTATGAACACCCTGTATGTCTTAATCGCATGGCGAAATTGAATCAACACTAATCACACAAAAAACAGTTTCGAAGTTGGCAAAAAATCTTGATTCGTTCGTTTATCATAAATTTATTCACCGGCGGTTTCAAATGTTGAAACATTTTGGTTAGAAGCTCTTCGTTCAGATTTCTCATTCACGGCCTTTTTCGGCGCGAAATCAAGTAAACAGGAAGGTTTTCAAACCTTTCGCGTGACTAATCTATTTTTGGGGTGTACTAGGGTACTGTGTACTGAACTGCACGTTGTTTCTCCTTGTTTAATTTCTACCGCGGATCCGTATGTGTCAGTTGCCACAAGGATGCCTGATCGAGATAGTAATTTAAAGAATAGAATAACTTCTTTCCGTGGAAATAGCCTAAATGGGAGCTTTCGTTATAGATCATAGTCTAACTTCTTTAGATAAAACAAGATATGGCTTAACATCAGCAATAATCTATTTTCAATTATAATTCCAGGGCGGATCCCACAATCTGTCAAGATTTGGACTCAAAATCTGCTACAATATTTAAAATGTCAATATTTTTTCTTCATCAGTCAAACTGTGAGGTCGGAGTTGCGCGTTTTTGATAAAGTACGAGTCGTACATTTAAAACTGCAAAGTCAGGATCCGGGATTCCAAACCTGCGATGTTAAAGTTAAACTTTCTCAGAAACTTAACTAGCGGACCTTTTCCAGTTATCCCCCCTCCTTTATGACTTTTGGAACAAATAGCGGTTTCGAAGTTGTCAAATAATCTCGATTTGTTGGTTTATCATAAATTTATTCACCGGAGTGTCCCCAAATGGCGACACATTTTGTTTTCGAAGCCTTCCATTTAGATTTATCGTTTACGGCCTTGTTGGGAGCGAAATCAAGTAAACACAGCGTTTTTAAACCTTTCGCGTGACTAATCTGTCTTTGGATTATAATTCATGGGTGGATCCCACAATCTGTCCGTATTCAGACTCAAATCTGCTACATTATTTAATGTCAATATTACACAAATCGATTTTCTTTGTTACGATAACGATTTGTTTGTCATTGTCTGTATTTGTCCAGTACAAATACAATCAGTTCTTCTGCTAGGTAATGCAATTATTTATTTTTACGCGATTTCCGTTCTGCGAACTGGCCTATAGACAGCGTTGCCATATCGTGCTTATTTCTAAGATTTGTGCTTAGTTTTGAGTTGCGTGCTTATTTTGTCCCAGAAACATGAATGACTCGTTCATGTTCGGTGTAAAAAGTTTTCTCGCTTTCTCTCAGCTCGGACTGTTTTTGAGGGTAGGGTTTGCGATATTTCATCATTGCAATTTCGTGGTTGCATGCAACTGTGTTCGAAGCGACTTCCAAAAAAAAAAAAAACTTGTGCGAAGTGCAGAAGAGAATTGTATATGATTTCTTTCTCATTTTTATTCTGCGTTTCTGCCGTTGTTAAGTACCCCCCCAAAATACCCTTTTGACGCTCGTGCTTATTTTTGGCTTTTGGTAAATTGTAACCCTGGCTATATTCCAAACCTATATTGTCTAAATATTTTTATGATCTTTTTTCGCGTATTTTAAAAATCAACTTGAAAGAAGTGCTTAGTAACATGAACATTATTGAAACTGTTATTAAATTTGTTTTGTCTACAGGCCGAAAATACAGGCTTGTCCATGGAAAACGTCTCATGGGATGGGACAGCACACATTTGTAATTCCCATAGGACACGAAATACTTGAGATTACGCCTGTAACGCCCTCGCGCCTCCATTTCCCCTTGAAAATCCCTGGCTGCGAACCTGCGCGCAAGATATATTTTATGTTTGCAAATGTACAGGTATGGGCTTTTGAACGGAAATATTTGAATAACATTAGGAATCGCACATTTCATAGCATATGTCGAGATCTCCTAATGTTGGTCGAGGTCTACTGAATTGGGTATAGGCAATATTCGCGCTCGTTTTCACAAAAACAGCTATTTGTCCAACATTAAGAATCAAAATAGTCCAACAATTAAAACATCTGGTGGGGGCGGGGGTGTTTGATCTGTGGGATTATCTCAATAAGCCCAACATAAGGAATTTTTTAAAAATATTTGGCAAAAAAACTAATTATTTGCACTCGATTTCACGGTAAAAAAAAACATTTATCTAACATTAATAATTCGTGTCCGGAAATCTTTTCGCGGGAAATTTTGACGCATAGAAAAAATCGCAAGAGCATTTTGCTGTAAAGCAACTATTTGTGAAAAAAACAGTCAGGTTATAGGGTTAGGGTATGCTCTTTAAAAAACGAATCTTTTTTAAATAAGGTGATTTTTCATGCGGCGATTTTTCCTATGAGACGAGATTTCTTACGACAAAATTTCCTGCGGTGAATTTACCTGGAATCTTAATAATCAAAAGGTTTAATAGCGTATAAACCATATGGCCAGATCGCGGATGTATTCTTTCCTGTTAGTCACCCCAGCATATGGTTTCGCTGGATATGGTTTTATGAATAGAAGTTGAACTATAATGTCGTGTGTGTTGGTACTCATGAAGTATGTGAACTAAGATGGCGGAAACCGGAACGTAGTATGTGTACCAGGTTAGGGTTAGGCCATAATTTTATTCCAATTTACCTTATTTTAGTTCTATTACGAGTTCGGGGAATAGCAAAGAGACTCCTGTAGTATTTGTACCTGAGCATACTACACATACTACGTTCCAATGTTCGCCATCTTGGTTCACATACTTCGGGATTACCGTCCGTACCGTCCGGATTACCGTGATGGATCTTTCGATTGCTGCTCGTAATGAGTATTGATTTATCGCGTCCCTTTTCACACCAAAAAACTTTTTTTTACCTTATTTTGTATGTATAATGTGTATTTAAAAAATACCCGTGTGGGAAACTCTTCGAATACAGGGTAAAATTTCGGCGCTCCAGAAGTTTGTGTACCAATATGGATGTAACTAATTTTGTTCGCCTACTTTACATCAAGTCGTGTACAGGGCCGAAAGTATATGGCAGGAGGGTATATTCACTTGGCTAACACAGACAGTCCCCGAACTCGTAATAGGACTAAAATAAGGAAAATCGGAATCAAATTATGCCCTAACCTTAACCTGGTATACATACTACGGGAGTACCAAAATTCATTTTTCTTACATAATAGAAATTTCGAACGCTATGCTAACCACTAGACTCGACCTTTGACCCTTTCTTTCATTTTGTTTCACAGAAACACGTTTTCAATCGCAAGATTGATGAGATGAGTTTTGATGGGTTCAAGCATTTCCACCAAGAAATGACCCTGAGACCGGAAGTTCAAGAAATATTTCGGAAATACTCAGCTGATGGGGCTATGTTAACCGCCAGAGAGTTATACAAATTTCTACAGGTATGTGGCTTGGTTTCATGAATGATTGGAAAGGCTGTATATGTTATAAACAATAATTTGCTTATGAAGGTTACGGGCACACAGAAGTAATGAAAACCATCTCTGATCAAAGTGAAGTTAATTTCATATGATCAAAAATAACACCCGTTAGAAGGCGCACGTGAGTCAAGTTCTGACACTGAAATGTTGTTTCAAACGGGTTCTTCTGGGTTGCGTGGTCCCTAATTAGATTGTCGATCTTGGGCGCGACCTCCCACCACCTCACTCAGATTGTAATAAAATGATATAAGATACCTTCTGTACGTATCTTTCGCTGCTTGGCTATAGCGTCGTTCGGAATGAAGGTGGGAAAATAACCTATAAAGCAGTGGTTCTAAACCAGGGGTGGGCAACATACGGCCCGTGGGCCGGCCCGCTACAAGATTTTGACCGGCCCGCTGACTGTATATCAGTACACTATGATATTACATTATTACACTTTTAGTACATTATGATAAATTCGTTATGTGTTTTTTGGTCTCTATTTTTTGTAAAGTTTAAACTTTACTTTAAACGCGATTTATAATTTTCTTTCTTGCATTAGCGAATGAATATGTGATTAAGATATTGAATACTATTCATGTTATAATCCAGCCCACCGAGGATTTCCTTTTTCCACATCCGGCCCGGCGACTAGAGAAGTTGCCCACCCCTGTTGTAAACTTTTCAAGCCGCGCCCCATTTTTAGAATTTGGCTCGCGCCCCACCTAAAAAAAAAAACTACCTAACAATATGCTACGAATAACAGATAGTAAGGCAAAAGTATGTTTTATTCAAAAATACGTTGAGAATATGTGGATGGAATCGCAATCTCTAAACAATAAAGAAATGTAAATATCCAAAATAAGACAAACAAGATCAAATATAACAAATATTTTTAATTGTCTTCACGCGTCCACTCTGAATTTTTTTACCCCATTTGAGCAACACTGCTGTAAAGTATAGGTTTATACGAGATGCCATACAAATAATATTACCATACATTCTTCGTTTTGTAACAAATATCTTACAACACAGGACCAAGGGGAGGCACCCGAGGTATGTATAAGCTTGGGGAGATATAACATCTGCACGAAAATATTAACTTTACTATTCTAATACTAAATGATTTTGTTCTTTCTTGTTCCTGGTGTAAATGATTAGTAATAGGACCTGTAGACAGAGATTTTGACAGGTATTTTCAAATGGATCGTTTTGCTACATTTTTGTGGCGAAAAAAAAATCGTCTCCATCATTTAAGTAGGAATGAATTTAGTAGAAACCCTTTATTTTTCATACAAACTTTTCTTCGAGTCCTCAATATTTCACCCAAAATTGTAATGTTTTATTTCAATGGAGGACAAAATCTTCTTAAATCTGTCTCTCTTGACCCCTTCCTACAATTATCTGCCGATCTTTTCATAAAATCTGTTTTTATGGTCATACTGTATCAGTGCCTTTGCGCGACTTTTGTGTCCATATATTTGAGTATTGCTTTCTTGTTTCACTAACTCTTACTCCTCCTTCTGACATAACAAACTACAAAAAAATTTTGAGTTATTCTGGGTGTTGCTTTGTACTAACACAATAGTTTTAGATTCTTTTATATCTAACTGTGGCGATAAAAGCCAACTTAATCTTAAAAGACAACTTATTTTTTTGGTTGACAATGGCTTTGGTTGTTCAAGAAATTTTGACGCTTACTCTTTATCCTAATATACCAAAACTTTGACTACAATTTTTTTCGAGTTATTCTGGGATGTTGCTTCGTACTAACACAATAGTTTTAGGTTCTTTTATATCTTTCTGTGGCAATGGAAGCCGATAAGACAACTTAATCTTCGCCGATGAGGCTTGAAATTTGCTCAAAGAAAACTCATGTAGACTCACTCAGAAACAGCATAAGCTGATTCTCTCTCTCTCTACTCATCTCTTCCAAAAGTTACAGTTGACCACTTAAACTCCTAAAGCTACTCACACCCACTCAGTAACAACGGAGACTCCTCTCCGAGAAAAGTAACCACTGGAAAGCCGACAGCTACTGACACTACGAATTTTAATATAGCGATGAACCACATATTCATAGACTATTTGACGTAAGACTTAAAGCAATTCAATTTAAAACGACCAGTTTTCGTCCACTTACCTGTTTAAGTCAGCCAAGAAAAATAAAACGAATCCATGGTATTTGGGACATACTCGAGAGAAATCATAACTTTTATACAAAACGTTCTAAGTTACTGAAACGTTTGAGTCGTGTTTATCGGAGGCCACTCCTGTATAAGAAGAAGAAAACATATCCACTACTTTATTATTACAGAAATCGCAAGATGAGTATGACGTCACAGAGCAAGATTGTTTTCAAATAATTGACGATTACGAAATGGATGACGACAATCGTGAAAACAAGAAGATGACAGTTCACGGTTTCGCCATTTTCCTTGCTTCGACTTATTGTGACGTATTCAATAAAAGACACGATGAGGTAAAACTACAGAAGATACTTCTTCAAAGAGATTTCTTACACTCAACATCTTTCTATAGATGTTAGATAGAACTAAAATATCTTAATCTGAGTTTACACCAGGTAAAAAATTACGATTGATTCTCGTTGAGAAAGGACTCCCGAATAAAACTCCTGAAGAAATTAAATTTTGATAACAAAAACTGTGGCCTATGCAATTCTTTTCTATTAGAAATTTCATAATAAATAAAAAAAAAAATAAAACGCTTATTAAGAATCGTTTAATATGTGAGTATAAGATTATTAATTCGAATTGAAAAGACCACTGAAGAAACATATAACAACAAAAACAACAACTACAAAACAATTTTGTTCTTACAGGTTTACCAAGACATGAAACACCCTCTTTCTCACTATTTTATCGCTTCGTCTCATAACACCTACTTAACTGGAGATCAACTGAAAGACCCAAGCAGTACAGATGCCTATATGAAGTAAGATATTTATCTATAGGATCTGATTTCCACGCTTCCTCTCTGAATAAGGCTCTGTACAGACAAGGTAGCCACACAGTTTCTGTTTTCAGAAGCACCGGAACAACATTTTGCCCAAAATATTGACGTTTATTTCTAATTGAAGGGGAAACTAAGTGCTTTCTAAGCTAGGAGGTCGCACTGGCACGAATGCGCGACCTCCGTCGATTCGCCGAATCCGACAAATTCCATCCCTATTACCTTATTTAATTTAAATTTGCTTCGAGTTTTCTGAGGTTAGGTACTCAACCTCAAACTTTACGGTTTCAATTTAAGGAACTCTGATGCCTTAAGCCAGCCATGTTAACGGGGTTCCACAAGTTTTCATTCAAATCGAGAGTGTTCTGGGGTTGTTCTGCATCAAAAAGGTTGAAAAACACTGCTATTGGATATTCCTGTACCGGAATTCGCGACCGCCAATTCCAAATCTTTGAGCAATACGTACATGTTTTCCCCAGATATTCCACCCAAAATTTAGATATGTCATTTTGATTAGGCACTCTTCGATTTCGTCGCACATGCGTGCAACTCTTTTCTGCAAACCCCGTTCTTTAAGGTTTTTCCGTATCGGTACCGATGCAAGCCAGCCCAAAATATTTTTTGTATAATGACGTAAAACGACGCTTTCTCGTACCGTCTGCTCCGAACAAGGCTAGATGAAAGCTGCCACTGATATCTAACAATATTTTAAAGAATCTCTTTGCAGACTTAGTTCGCTGTCGAAGTTATCCAAGGTATACAGTAGCGCATTTTCATCTATCTCGGTTCATCAGGTGAAAGGAATATTGATAGCAAGCCAAGAACCCTCATCTTCTCTGGCTACGGATTTTGTTCACTATTCAAATCCTATGGGACTTGATGATTCATCAAAACTTTTAATCAAAATGGACTTATCCATTGACTTATCATACCAACACCGATGCGCGATCTTCGTGTCCACATATTTGAATTCTAATGTAGTTTTCAAATTTTCCTCAGGGCATTATTGCAAGGGTGTAGATGCGTTGAGTTGGACTGCTGGGACGGTGCAGATGGCGAACCAGTGATCTACCATGGCTACACATTCACCTCTAAAATAAAGTTCAAGGACACGATAGAGGTCATTGGGAAATACGCGTTCGAAGTTTCGAGATATCCTCTCATCTTAAGTATTGAAAACCATTGTTCTGTACAACAACAAGAAAAAATGGCGGAATATATGAAGGTATCTAGTTTTTCATATATTTTTTTCAAATATATTTTTGCCCCGAAAAGGCACTAGACAAGCGGAGGTACTCCCGTAGTTTGTGTACCAGGCTAGGGTACGGCCATAATTTCAGGTACAAATACTACGGAAGTCACTTGGCTAGCCCCCGAACTCGTAATAGAACTAAAATAAGTATAATTGGAATAAAATTATGGCCTAATCCTAACCAGGTACACATACTACGTTCCGGTGTCCGCCATCTTGATTAACATACTACGGGAGTACCATATTTTGTAACGATAGTTTTAACTGGAAAGTAACAGACTAGGAGTGCATTAGGCAAAGCATACTATACAAGTGTTTCCATCGTTATCGGGGTTCTCTATGTATAAATGGAAGCTTATTTTATCGGAATTCAGAGAGGAAGTCTAAAAAAGCTAATATTAATAACATTTAATTCATATTCATAGAAAATTCTCGGAACCGAACTTTTGACTGACTACGTTATCCCAGAAGGTGACGAGTTCCACCTGCCTTCGCCTGATGCCTTACTGGGAAAGATACTGATTAAAGGTGAGAGAACAATAATACATCAATCCACAATTATTACCTAACAGGAGCAACAATTTGATATTTATTGAGTTAATGTTGGATCTCTTTAGTCACGTGACGGAAAATTCGCCGTAGGTAATCTGGCCGCAGGAAATTTCGTCGCATGAAAAATTCCCGAAAAAGCATTTTGCTGTGAAACAAATATTTGTGATAAAAACAGTTAGGTTTATAGGGTTAGCTCTTAAATAACGAATATATTTTAAATGAAAAGGTACTTCAAAAACCAAACTGTTTTTATCACAAACACTTGTTTGACAGCAAAATGCGGCGATTTTTCATTTTTCATGCTCGAAATTTCCTGCCGCAAATTTTCCTTCTCTTCAGTCATACTGGATATTTGTTGACGCGTGATCTATGAGGGAGTCAGGGCATAGGTTCTCGAATTGCTTCATACGGAAAGAGGCCCAAGGCTTCGCGAGCTATTTGTTCATCTATTAAAATACGGACTATTTTTTAAATACAAAGTAGCAAATACTTTCGAGTCATTGAATAAAGTAATTTTATTTCACTCGAGAAACATTAATCGGCGAGTAACAATGTTTTGTTTTGTTTTTATATATTTATCATGCGACAAGATTATTGTGAAAAATTTGACACGAGTCCTCATTTGAGTTGTGCACCCCTGCTCTATACCATCAACCCCTGCGTTAGGGGTGAGTAGGTTGTCCAAATCGCCATTAGCATGGCTTTTTCTGTATTTGGCTAGTGGACCACTTAATTGAAAATTTTGTTCGAAATGACGGAATCACTCATGTAATCAAACTGATATTTTTAAAAACGTAAGCGGTGTATTATGAGAGTGAAAAATCTCAACCGATTTTATATGTTCGATTTTTGAGATAACAACGCGAGTCACACAATCCCGCCCTCAACATATGCTTTAGCCTTGAAGACATTTTGATTGGATTGATTGGAGTTAGACAAATATTTCGTTTCCGTTCACGCAAACGCACACAATGGGGATTTCGCTTTGCTTCATCTCTCTTTCTTCAAAATCTTTCCGCTCGCCCATGGCCAATTTTTAAACCATGTTATTTATTTTTCTAACAGGGAAAAAACTTCCACCCCCAGTCCACCATGATGACGGTGATACTTCATCAGATGATGACGTCAGTGATGAAGATGAAGCAGCAGAAATGGAAGTTATGATGGAAAGAATGCATTTAAGAAAGGTATATACTCCAAAATGTTTTCAACGAAAATATTTACATTTTTATCATAAACATATATTTAGAAAGTTGTAAAGGGTGGGGGTATTCTAAAATTTATAATTGCCAATAATTGATCTAAAATGCGGTAAAATTCACTCCCACAATTGTCTCCCACACAGTTATTACTACACTGTGGGCAAAAAGTACGGCAACAGTTTATATATTACCGATGTTGCGCTACTTTTTTTTATCACCCTCATCGCTGTCGCGTTTCCTTTATTTTTTTCTCGTGTTTCTGAGTTTGGACATGGTTTTGTCCAAACAACTGTATACGCTACAATGGTTAGGACCTTCTGTCTATTTTTTCATTTATTTCCAGCCAATGAATAGACTTGAAAGACTATTTCGACGACGTGATACGTCATCAGATGACGTCACGCGAAAATGTGACGAAAGCGTCAAACAACTTTTTGGTGCACATTGTGTCGACAATGGTCAAACAGTATCACTTGCCACGCCCTCTAATTCTAACCAATCATCAACGAGAACGAGAGCACAGGTAACGAAATTTCCTGATGTTTGTGGGTTGAAACATTAGAGCGATTTAATATATACTTCACCCATCAATTTGATTACTTTGAATTATTTTATAAATTCAAATTTTTAAAAGGCCAGCTTCTGTTAGTGAATATTGTCCGGCTTTCTTTTTTCATTTTTATATGATTCAATGTTAAACTTTCTAGGTGATGTTGCTCGATAACCATTCATAGTTTATCGCGTCTACTTTGACGCAAAATTTCATTATTTTTATTTTATCCCACTGTTTGTACACATTCATATTTTTGGTATGAGAAAAAATAATTTCTGACTGACTGCATTTCGTTCGCTATCTCCAAGAGTACTATGAGGAGGGAGCCCATGTGAGCGACTTTTTAAACATTAACTGTTGGATTCGGATTTTAGGCTTGATAAGGAAAATCTGGGTGTTGACTACAGCCGCATTCAATGGCTTGGCCGGCCGAGTTGAGGCCCGCGAACGGCTGTTGCACAGCCCTGCTGTAGAGCCTTCGCTTTCAAAAATTGCTGTGCTTAAAGTTGTCTATCTATTTGTTTAAACATACCTTTTTTTACTTGTTCCCTTCAGGAGAAAAAGTTGAAGCTTTCTAAGCATTTATCGGATCAAGTGATATATTGTAAGAGCACGAAATTCAAAGGAGTCGACCATGGGATACAGAAGTCCCAGTTTAAAGAGATTTCATCGTTCAGTGAAAATAAAGCCACAAGGTTTGTGGTATTTTGTGTGTTTGTGGTAGTCTGTATGTGTGTCTGTATGTGCGAGCATATCCATGTATGCGCATGTCTGTATGTGCAAGTTATATGCGTGTCTATCTATATGCGAAAGTGTATGTGCCCAGCCAGCGCAGTTTAACTTTCCTATCGATATAATAATAATAAGAGAAACGAAATGAAGATTTTTTGCGCATAACTGCAAACTTGTAAAAAACATTTGAGTAGATGTAACGACTCCGAGTGGCTTTGAATTTGACGGAAACGATGTCATATAGCCCTAGGATTAGAGGATCATTCCCATTCAGCACGGACTACCAAATATTTAATCCTATAATTTCACACATTTGCTCAACAAATCTATATACAATACCTAATCTATCAATTTATCTATACCACCTTTTTTCTTAGTTTTGATATTAGATTTTTATTCTTATATCAACAGACTCGCCACCCAACAGAAGCAAGAAGCCATAAGCTATCACGTCGAGCATCTCAATAGAACATACCCCGGTGGTACGAGAGCAGATTCCAGTAATTATGATCCTCAACCGCTTTGGAATGCTGGATTTCAAGTCGGTGGGTATTCTTTACGTGTTTTCGCAACTTCACTCCTGACAGGCAAGATGTCACTGATACGCAAATATTAAGTATTTTTTTCATGTAGACGGGAATTTTTCGGTATTGACTTGCACACTCAATTCATTGTTCCTTTGGTGATATGGTGGACATATTGAATGGGCCGGAGATTTTCAACTTGTGGCGCCAACATATAAAAATTTCAATTTTTAGAACGCGGTTTTCAAGATTGAGGTTAAAAAAACTCTAGCAATTAAGCAAGAAAGTGTAGAATCAGTGGCACTGTGGCCCCCCTCATACTGCTCTGTGGCTCTCTCGGTGAGCCACGGGCCCCGGTTGGGAACCACTGACTTAGGAAAGCTAGGGAACGTGATATATATGTAAAATTCTACAGTTTCAAGAATCTGGTCCAGCATTACTTACCCAATTTATTCAAGAAACATATTAAATCGTGCCGGTTTGTGCACAATCCTTGTCAAAACTTGTTCAGGTTGTAAAATGTTCATGGAATACAGAGTGTCCATGAAATCCCTTTCAAATTATAGTATGAAGTTAGTTCTCAATATTTCTTAACCAGATTTTTTATCAGTAAATTATTCAAGTATTTAACTTCATTAAATACTTCTGTGAGGGCCAAAACAATATAGGGTATCGATAAATTTCCTTTGCTGTTTAAAAAATTTTGAAAACTTGCCTATTTATATATACAAGCTTTCGCATCCCAGCAAATTCAATCACAATATATAATTTAATACTCAATATATATCCACAGCTACACCGATCCGAAACTTTCTCAATAAAAACTTTGTATTTCATCTATTTAGTCGCTCTCAACTATCAAACAAAATGCGATGAAATGGTTCTTTATCACGGTAAATTTCGTCAGAATGGAAGATGCGGTTACATATTAAAACCAGAATATATGAGGTCACTAACTGATGATATCACTAGAGAAACACACGGGGAAACAACGAAGCATCTGAAAATCACCGTGATCAGTGGGTTTCGAATACCAGGTATGATGTCAATTGGTTTCACAAATCGATTTTCATAAGTGCTGCTGCAGGACGGCGTTACGAGAATGTCGTGTCTTTTTTCCCCCCACTCACACCACTTTGCCACGTCCGCTTTTCGGGACACTTGTCAAATTTATCCTACTCTTTCCCCCCTTTTTTACCACACCTTTCCCACTTTGCCACACTTGTCCCCTTTTAACACACTTGTCCACTTTTCAGGACACATGTCCATTTTACCTACACTATTCCCACACTTATTCCGATTATGCTACACCTGTCCCATTTTAGCAGGGATTTGTTTTGGTATCCGATATTTCATCCAAAATTTCGCTGTTTTATTCAGTCGCACACAATACGTGATATAGTACACTTCTTTATATGATATCTTCTATAACTCTTTTTACATTTAACTGAAATTTTTCTGGCATTGCTCTGGTCGTTCAACCTTTGCGGTCATTATTCCTCTGTTTATGTCTTTGCTTTTTATCTGTGGAAGAAGTTTTCTATCCGCTGACTCAAAATTCAATACAGAATAATTTTTATTCTTAGTACCAACTTATCAAAGCAGCGCCAATAATTTAGAATACCCGGGATTAAACGAAAAACTACTTAAACACAATTATGTTGCAATAATACTCTGGGTAACAATGTAATACGTCCTCAAATAGGAACATGCTAGAATCCCCGCTTACAATTTCACGTTTCTTCCTTATTTACAAATACCTAACCACTATATAATTTCTAACACTTTCGCATTACAGTTGATCTACAAGACGGAGACGTCTCTTTACAAATTGATGTATCTGTTACCGGAGATACGGAAGATGTCGCCAAAGAGAGAACTAGAATTGTGAAAACAAATGGTAAGAGCGTGAGAAATATCATAATAGACTCCAGCTCCCGGATTAAAAAAAGTTATCACTCCAACGTCCGGGTTAGGAAAATTATCACTACGACTTCCGGGTCAAGAAAATTACCACTCCGACTTCCGGGTCAAAAAAATTTATCACTCTAACTTCCGGGTTGAGAAAAAGTATCACTTCAACTCCCGAGTTTAGAAAAGTTATCACTCGTATCGTTCGTATGCAAGCTTCTTTAATAGACTGCTGAGAGCGCTTAGTAAACTAGATACATGTAGAGTTTTAGTAAAAACACTATTGAAACTCGGAAATTCCGACAAATAATAGGAATTTCGATTCCGACATTAGTTCTTACGCCTTTTCCAACGCCATTTTACTATATTCTTGGACGATTCACTAAAAACTGACTTTTCTAGCCTTCTTCGGGTCAACTGTTACAAGTAAGCGTCGTATTACGTCAGTATACACCCCCCCCCCCCCTTCCTAAACTTTTGGGCTGGCTACGCTCTTGCCCCAAAGCGATGACATGAAGAACTCCAAAAATAAACACCAACACAATATGCTGCCAGTTAAACAACAAGCTACTCAACAACTATTTCTATATTTCAAAGGATATAACCCAGTATGGAATGATGACGTTGAATTCCTGGTTCGAATCCCAAGTCTGGCAATGGTTTGGTTCGTTATTCGTGATGAAGATTCGGATAAAATTGCTCAATTCGTGTTGCCACTAAGCAGCGTCGGACAAGGTGGGTAAATCATTTATACCTCGAACTCTTCCTTCGAAATATAGTTCTAGACATGAAGACGTGGGGGTTTTAAGTCATACTAATGGGCAAAGTTTTTTTAGTGGAAAAGGTTGCAAGACCCCTATGCTGTTATCTAGAAATATGGCTCCAGATAGACAAGAAGAAGACGATTTTTCCTATGACACAAAAATTTTTTCGGCGAATTTTCCTAGATCCAAATAACGAGTTTTGACAATTTTTATAAAAAAATAAATCAAACTTTATCTATTCCAGGTTATCGCACTGTGCATTTACTGGACAAAGACGGAACTCCTATGCGGTCTACTAGTCTTCTTTTATACGTCTCCGTTAATGACGCCACGTAATACGTCAAGAATGACGTCATAAATTGAAATGACACCAAAAATACATTTCTACCTATCATACAAAAAATGTGAAAATATTCAATAATGGGCAAATAACTGATTAAAATAGCGAATACTTTATTTGGAAGCCACGCCTACACGGATTATAAACACTGTGAAAATTGACTGCGAGCACGTCGGATAAAAAATCAGACTCCGATTTTTGACTCTCCATCGCATGTTATGATATCAATAACCAACATTTTAATGTCTGCAACTACCAGGAAGCTTATGTCAAATAAAAGTGCAACCCGCGGTTTTACCCAATTATTTCTATCTGGCCCGTCCTGTATTGAAAGTTGCACACCCCTGGGTTAGACTATAATTTGATTCAAAGTTTCCTTATTTTAGTTTTATTACGAGTTCGGGGACTAGCCAAGTGACTCCCGTAGTATTTGTACCCAAAATTATGGCCTAACCCTAACCTTGTACACATACTACGTTCCAGTGTCCGCCATATTGGTTCGCATACTACAGGAGTATCGGGCTACTTAATACGCGTCAGAAAATATATAGACTTTTACTGTAACACTCAATTTGACCGACGAAAACACACGTTTTCATACACCTTTCACTTCGAATAAGGTCATGCATAAGCGGCCACTGATATTTGAGAAGCATACAATATGGGGTTCATGTTGAAGATTTGAACGCCGGATCCGGCAATGTTTCGACTCCGTCCAGTTTTCGGACCGAGAGTAACCCCCCCCCCCCCTCATTGGAAATTCCTGTCCACGACCCTGGCAAGGACTACTAGTTTCGGAAGGACCGGAATCGTTCATGTTTACGGGTAGTAAGAACTTCTCTAGTTACCAAAAATTAATATATTGGGACTCCGATTCTATACTTTAATATTACCATATTATTATCGAATATTTCTATTTTATTAAGTTATGCAAATTGTTTATCACTTTATATTTTAGTTATATACTATACGCTACCTATTTATGTATTTTTCATTCACGTTTAAATGACCAAATGACAAAATATTATCCATAGAAAAAACTCGTACTGACTAATTTTAAATCGATTTTATTTAACTTTTTAAGTATATTTTCTATCTTCTGATTAGAAATCGGCCATTTTGTACTATTTAAATTACAGATTTCACAGAAAAAGTGCTTTTGAATCACACTAGAATAAATTTGAGGCTAAGTCTCAAAAATGCCATCACTTACACCACAGACATGTGGAACAATTGTGACAACGAAACTGTGACGTAGAAGGGACAAGTAGTTGTGTACGACAGTGGTTCTCAAACAATGGGGCGCGCCCCACAAGGGGGCCGTAGACGATTTTTTTTGGGGGGGGGGGCGTGAAGCTAATTAAAAATAAAAATACTTGTTAGATTTGATCTTGCCCGCCTTATTTTGGCTATTTATCTTTCTTCATTTTGGATATTTGCGTTCCATCCACATATTTTTAACGTGTTCTTTGAATGAAACATAAATTCGCCTTACTACATGGTATTTGTAACTTACTGTTAGCTAGTTATTTTTGAGGCGGGGCGCAAGACTAAAAAGTTTGGGAATCACCGGTTTATGATACTCTTAAGACACCGATCACAAACTGACTTTTTTAATATAATCAAGTATAAATTTTAGCAACTGTATGGTATTCATTTCAGCTCTTGCTAATTTGTTCTTTATTTTCTTAAAATCTTATTATTCTTGTTTAATATTTAACTTTTTACAACAATTTTAAATGATAACAATAAATGTTTCAATGTTAAAATATGTGTGTTGGGAGGTTATAGATCGAAGTTTCAAACGCCATATATGGATGGGCATTTTCGAATATACCTGACAATTTCAGAATCAAATAGAATATTTTTTTCAGTCAAATTTCGAATACTTAGAGTTATTTAAATTACAAGACTTTTCGTGTGACTACCGTTTGCGGTCTAACTTGACAATTACAAATTCAAACCACTCTGAAAATTCCTGGCGACGCCTCTGGCAGGCATGTTTGGGCATTTCGGAATACCTGATGATTTCAAAATCGAATACTTTTTAGAAACAAATACTTGTAACTAAAAAAGGGTTAAAATGGGTTCTCAAAGACACATAAATTACTGAAAACATAGAATCCATCAGTAAAGTTAGTTTGCTGAGCGTTCAAACCTAATGAGAAACATGTTTCATCAATAACTAACTATAAAAAACGAGTCCTATGTACGAATTGCATTGTAAAAATATGGATTAAATGAAGAAATTTGTAGAATTCACCTCGGCCTTTGGTAAACAGAAAAAAAAAACAAGATGGCGGCGATTCGGAATTTTTGTCGAAACCAATTCGAATAATTTACCATTCGATTCGATATGCCTAGCCCTAACTCCATAATCACCATCTAAATAGGGTGGATCTAATTAGGAGGCTACAAGGCGAAACGAAAAGATTTAGATCTCTTGTACAAACACCCCGCCAGTAATGCAAAAATGTGGTGTTCAAGAAAAACACCCAAGCCACGGTTTTAGAATAAAAAATTAGCAATTATGCAGTTGGTGTTAGAGTTAGGAATGATTTAAAAATGTGAATTTTTAGCGCAATCTGCATTTCGAACCCTAACCGGGTAATTATAAAATATTCTCATTTTAAGCGATGCTGGGAGCTTTGTACAAAATATCCCAAAATATCTGGTTCATGCAAAAACATAAATGCTCGGATTAATCCACTGCCGTTTTGGTAAACCCGTAGTATGTGTACTAGGTTAGGGTTAGGCCATAATTTATTCCTATTCTAGTTCTATTACGAGTTCGGGGACTGTTTGTGTTAACCAAGTGAATATACTTCATGGCCATAGGCTTCCGTTCCTTTACACAACTCGATGTAAAGTAGGCGAACAAAATTAGCTACCTCCATATTGGTATATATACTTCTAGAGCTTCGCCCTTTTTATGTCCTTGCTCGCAGCGAAATTGTGAAAACAAGTCACAGAAACTATCCAAACCGCCAATACGCAACTAAGCATTACTCATTGTTAATTGACACAGCATGACGCTTTAAGGCATTTGTATAAACGTGACCATCTAAGAAAAGCTAAATATAAATCAAAACATAAGGTTGGTGTTAAGTTTTGCACTGCAGGCGTTTCAAGTTGATTCATAATTTCAGCAATGCTTAGTTTAGGAATGTGAAAAAGCTAATTACTTCATGTGCAGTTACGGGATGGGAGGGGAGTAGCTAATTTTTGTTTTATTTCGGCGCTATGGGACGATCAAATAGAATTGTAAGAAGGCGAAACGTTCATAGTTATTATATCATAAATGTTCAAAATAGATTATGATAGACTAAAAATGACACTTTGGTTACAAGAGATAATTGAGTATTCAGCGAAGGTTGTAAAACTTTCAAACTCGCGACGCTTTTACTTCTTGTAATACAGATAAAAAACGAATTTGAACGCAAAGTATTGTCACAAAGTACAAGGGAAAGTCTAGCAGCACATGCTAAGTTAATCAATGCGACACGTGACTTTGCTTTATTCAACTATACGACTGAATGTCCACCATAGACAGTTGTACTTTTTGCTCAACTTCAACTTTTCACGACTTTTTCGTGATTTTTTAGTGTTTTTGCACATATTTGCAAGGATTTTAGTGGTTCTTGGTGTTGTTTTCATAGTTTTTGACGATTTTTCACTGTTTCTGCAGTTTTTTCTTAGTGTTTTGCACGTTTTTCACTGTTTTTGCAAGGTTTTTGGTGATTATTATCTGGTTTTCAAGTTCCAAATGCGGGCAAATAAGAAAAAGTTTTTGGGAGAAGGTAAAATTATTATTTTGTGACATACTACATGGACGCGACAAACAGGTTGAGAACCACCGCATTACAGGAACGGGTAAACTAAGTACGGATTAAGGCGCTCCAGAAGTATGTGTACCAATATGGAAGTAACTAATTTTGTTCGCCTATTTTACATCAAGTTGTGTAAAGGGACTGAAATCTATGGACAGGGGGTATATTCATTTGACAAACACAGACAGTCCCCAAACTCGTAATATAACTGAAATAGGAAAAATCGGGATAAAATTATGGCCTAACCCTAACCTGGTACACACACTACGGGAGTACCCAAATTAAGATGAGCTTGAAAAACGTTTCCTAGGACTAAAAGATACCAATTCATTTCAAAGTATGATTTCAGGATTTTTTTTGTCTTTGCAGAGACATAGATACATTACGCAGAGCTATGTAAAGATATTTTGGCAGCAGTCACACATATTAAATTACGTACAAATATTCTGTCAAACATGGACTATGAAAGAATTCCTTATCGTTTAAGTATTGCAATCGGAATGGTGATTACTGGATCGATTAATACGTTGGCGACAAAGTAAGTTTAAACACTGACGGTGCCTAAGAACGGTCATTTCCCGCTTGTTCCACTTTATCTCGTGGGACACGACATGTTTGCAACATCCTACCATAGCAAGACTTCTTGAAATGGGGTCTCGCCCCCTTAGTGGCTTACGAGCAAAATACTTCACTAAATACCACTGCAATGATTTTATTAATTAAAAATAAATTGACTTTAGGTTGATCCGTTGTTTGTCATGCATTTCATATTTTGCTTCAATTCGTTGCAAGGGGCACGGATCATGACAATTCGTAACATCTTACTTCACTTTGATGAGGATTAGGGATTTCCGTATCGAGACCTAGTCAGTCCAGAGCTATAGTATATATATAGCATGTTATACCGTGTTTCCCCGAAAATAAGACCTAGTCTGAATTTTAAAAATGCTTTTAACAAAAGTCCTTCCCTTAAAATAAGATCAAGGCGGGTTTTTGAAGTAAATGTATATCGGTGTCATATTTTGTATATTTGGAAATCTCGTAATTCTTTGCTTTGTAATTTTGTTTTTAATAAATGAAAATAAAGTACACCCCCCCCCCAAAAAAGCCACAGTGTTATTTTTCCAAAGAAATTTGAAATGAGACCCTGTTTTATTTACAGGGAAACGCGGTACATCTCAAGTTGAAATCGATTCATAATAGAGAAGGTTTAACAACGCGTTACTAAAACTGTTGGGTATAAACATACACAAACAGAAGTTGAAGCGTTAAATAAATTATATTCATTTTCGTAGAAAAAAAGTTGAAAGTTGTTTTTTTGGTATTTATTGTTATTGTTTTCCAACCTCTCTGGCATTACATTATTCGACACATGATATCAGAATTTCACAAAAGGGGAAACACCTATATCGATATCAATGTTACATGCCCTGAAGGCTATTTGACAAATAGTCTATCACGTAGTATGTGAAATAAAGCTAAGATCTGAAGCCCGAGCTCGGGCCGGGCCTGAAATGTCAATCATTACGTTCGGGCCGGGTCGGGTTCCTCCATCGCTTCTTTTTTTAAATAAATATATGTTTATAAAAAATATATGCTAAAACTATGCGTGAAATTCAAAGAACTCCTAAATAAATTATGAAATTTCGGGTTGGCTTCGGATTCGAGCCTGCAAATCCAGTTAATTAGTCGGGCTCGGCTCGGGTTTAATACCCACGGGCCCGGGTCGGGCTGGAATTTTTGGGCCCGATCTTATCTCTAATGTGAACGCGCAAAGAATGTTATGCTAATATGCATATACTTTCAATTTAAAGAGCCATGATTTTCCTATTTTCAACTTTTTACCTCATGTAATATTTGAACGACCACGTTGAACAACACTATTTTGTTACGCCATCTGTTTCCGTTCTAATAGATCATTACCATTAGTAATGAAACGCGCAAATTACACTCTGGATTTCGTGCTGTTTAAACAGACCATAATGTGTGATGCATGTGTATTATAATAGCCCGTAATATGTAAACAATATTAGCCTTACTGCAAGAGATAAAAAGTATATTTTTCCTTCCTAAAACAATAAAACCCCGCCAAGAGATGGAAACGCTAGAATAGTTGAATAAATCATATATATATATATATTTACATATAACTTTAATATGAAAATATTTTCAAATCTTGGTAAAAGTCAGTTCAGCTTTGAGACGTCACTTTTTTATATGTTCTTTTTGCTTTATTACGTCACGTTATCGTGTTGTCACAAACTTAATGACATCATTTTTTGTATTACGTACTTTCGTTTTAGCCTTATGGCGTCACATTTGAAAAAAATACTTCAAAGCTGCCCCCACTTCTTCAAACTCTAATTCAGAAATGCGCAAAGATATTTCAAAATAAAGCCGCTGTTTTTTTCTTTATGACGTCACGTTAGCGTGTTGTCACAAACTTGATGACATCACTTTTTTTATTACGTACTTCTCTATACCCTAACTTAATGATGCATTTAGGTATCTTAAAAAATAAAGCAACATTTTCCCCACAGATGGGCCGATATACAATCCGCTCCAGGATGCAAGAATGGAAACAACCCCGACGAACATCTGTTTGACCATCCATTTTTACAGGTATTTATTGGTCATAACTCGGCGGTTCAGAAGTAACCAATATGGAGGTAATTTTGTTCGGCTTCTTTACAACAAAGTTACAAAGTTGTGTAAAGGAACTGAAACCAATTGGCAGGGGGGTATATTCACTTGGCTAACAAAGACAGTCCCCGAACTCGTGATAGAACTAAAATAGGAAACATCGGTATAAAAGTATGGCCTAACCCTAGCCTGGTACACATACTACACCGTTTATTTTACAGGCGGTTGGGATGTTCGTCGGTGAGTTTTCATGCTTGATCGTGTTCAAGATAATATGGCGATGGAGGACGTATCGTGGGCGAGAAATTGAGGATTTGGGGAATCAAGATTTTAACCCTTTATTGTTACTGATTCCTGCTATGTGTGACATGATTGCTACTTCTCTGATGTAAGAATAACAAATTACAATATAGTGATACCACGATAACTTAAATGACCAGAAAAATGCAGCGTTCCGTGTTATATGAACTGTATCACCGTTTCAATTATAACCTCTTGGAATTTACCGTTACGGATTCCAGCTATGTGTGACATGACTGCAACTTCTCTGATGTAAAAATAATTACAATACAGCGCTACCGCGAAAACTTAATGACCAGAAAAATACAGCGTTCCACGTTATATGAATTGTATTTATCACCGTTTCAATTACGCTTGGGTTACGTTAAAACGCTCGGGTTCATATCCAAGGACCGATTCACCAAAAGTTGATCAATACATCATTAAAATTAATCAAGTAATACCATTTCAGGATCTTTTGTACAAAGGATCTAAAGTTCCCGCCTGGACATTGCTGGCGTTTCTACAAAAAAAATTTTAAATTTTTTTTTTGATCACTTTACTTCAGGTACACCGCCCTAACGTACACTTATGCATCGAGCTTTCAAATGTTTCGCGGGGCTATCATCGTATTCACAGCTTTACTTTCAGTAGCTTTCCTTCGTCGAGTCGTAAGAATCCCACAATGGATTGGGATAGGATGTGTTATCGTTGGACTAATCATTGTCGGACTCTCAGATGTTCTTTTTCCAGATGAAACGGGGGATATCACTTACGGAAAAAATGGGATAATCACTGGTGAATAATTTTTGTATATAACGCTTACTCGCGTTTTTCGCTTCGTACAAGCCACTAAGGAAGTCACTAATACTTATATACAGGGTGTTAAAAATGCACGTAAAGTTAACAGAAGTTAAAATGAAATGCTGCTTAAAGCATTTAACGACTGACATCTTTTAACGGTATTGAATTACGGTGAAATGCTATTTAAACATTTCACGACTTTACGTTTTTAACCTTGTCATGACAAAGACTTTTACCTCTATTTTGCGTAACTTTCTAACACCTATATAAAATACTGGAATCCTTCCGGTTCGGCATTGTCCAACCAATTTGTTACACCCTGTGTGAGAAGCATATAATTTGAACTCGATATGTGTAATCTGTATGACCAAAACTGAAACGATGAATGTGGGGCCATCAGTGCTAAAAGCCTCCAGAAGGGGAGAGGGGGGGGGCATGAGCCAGCATAAAAAGTTGGGAACCATTGCGATAGGTTATCGCGCCGCCACAGATATTTGCTTATTAGAGCAGGAATATAACATGTGTCAATGCCTCGGGATTATAACTTAGTTTGTGCACTAATCAGTCCGATTATAGTTGTCGAATTAAATTTGTAAAGGCTTTTTTTCCAGTTTTTGTTGTCGTTCTAGTAATCGACTGAGAAACATTAAATCAAAAAAACAAATGTTCACAACAATATTCCAGGTAAAATGATCTATAAACAGACTTCTGATTCTTATCAAACAAAAATTTGATTCATGAGCGCCATTCCATTTCTACATAGAATATCGTAACGTACATCTCGTGTAGATTGAATTTTATACTGATTACCGTGGGTATAGTTTCTCATTAATCTAAGCCTATTTAATATATTAGAAAGGTAATGCAACAGTTTATGCACTGTAAGTGTAGATTTGTAAAGGCTTTTTTTTCAGTCTGTTGTCGTTCTAGTAATCGACTACAAACACACAGAACAATAATATTTGACGTTGATAACATCGGCGTTGCATCGTTAACAATAGATTCATTGAGTTGGCTATCTGTATGTTTTATGACAAGGACTTGATATATTTTCCGATACTCTGGCGCGCAAAATCGTGGAATAGGTTTGTACGCTGTTTTCGAAGATTCTTGAGGGTGTGATGGCCTAGCGGTGAAAACGGTATTTAATACATAGAAAATTGATAACATCGGCGTTTGAAAGTTCAAGTTTAATTTTTTCAGTTGAAATTTTGAACCCAGACCCCCTCCCTTGTTTGAATTTACAACCAGACTTCTGAATCATGAAATTCTTACTATTTTAAAAATACGAATCCTGCTCACTGCTCAGCGACTACGACAATTACATTTGATAAAATATTTGACGACTATGCGCGAGCTATATAAGGTTGATAAACGGTGAAAATTGCCCACAAAAATGAGTTTAACAGTAAAGATATCTTTCTCTTGCAGGTGATCTTCTCATTATCATCGCGCAAATAATTCAGGCAACGCAGGTGGTTATTGAGGAACATTACGTCACTGCTAGAAATATTAACCCTTTACAGGCTGTAGGATGGGAAGGTAGGATGGGTTATGCTTTCACATTTCACTTTCGCTCAATGAGTTACTAATATTTTTGATTGTAGATTCATTACCACGACGACTACGACTAGACGACGGAAGACTACTTAAAATAAAGACACACTATGGGAGATCAAATATAAATTCCCAAAATTAATGTATGCCTCAGCAAATAACAGTACAATTGTCATCCTACTTATTACTCATTAAAATATACACGCCCATAACTTACTATTCATTTAGAACCTCTAGTTCGGCTTTAAACTATATTGAATCTATATTTAAATCAGACTTACACAACTACTAGAACTATGAGTATCACTATATCAACCGAAGAATACAACACGCAATTATTTTATTTCTGTGCGGCATTTTTGTACTAAAGAACGAGCACATAACAGCTGCTTTATGTCGCTCCAAGTGTCTACTACAGGGGTCGGCAACCTAAGTAACATAATCCGGCCCGCGACTCTTCACTGAATTATTGTAACAAAACAACTGTTTTGACGATTCTATTTTTCACGTTACACAATTCATTGTAAGACGCGTGTAGACTAAATTATATTATAACCTAACGAGTATAAAATTCACAATTACTCGTTTAATGAGCCTATAATTTAATTATACTTAGACAAATGTCAACAAACTGCAGAAAAGTTGAAGCTATGTGCAAAGGTTTCAATTGTGCCGAAAATGCAAGGCAATGGGAAAATAAATCTATATTCTATTTGAGAGATTATCACTGCTTCATTTTCATTATAAAAAGTATCATCCGTTCGGTTTTTCAACTTTCTAAAAATATGTGGGGCCCGACAATGACTTGCAACCCTTATTTTGGCCCGCGAGTGACAAAAGGTTGCCGACCCCTGGTCTACTACATGAAAAAATATTCTAAATATAGAAAAAGAAGGGGGTAAGCAAACAAGGCGGCTTATTCACATAGAGAACCACGACCTTCGTCCGGTTACCAGTTAATGTCGGATATAGGAATAATTACCCAGATGTTTCAGATGCACGGAACTGGTGAAATAGGGAAAAAATGATTGTCAAGTCACAATATATTCGTAACTTCAGGTTTCTTTGGAATGACGACACTAGGCGTTCTACTCATACCAATGTATTTCATTGAAACCGGTCATAATGGTGACGTCATTTCACGCTTGGAAGATTCCCTGGACGGGTTATGTCAAGCTGGGAACAATTGGAAAATTGCGCTAGCTACGTTTGGCACTGTTTCTAGTATTGCGTTCTTCAACTTTTTCGGAATCAGTGTTTCGCGGGAGTTGAGCGCCACTACAAGGTAATTAAAATATGCCATTAATTCAGTTTTTGCACGAGGCAAATGAAAATACCGTTGCGAGTTAATACTTATACTCAATGTACAATCAAAGTCATTAGAAGTTCATATTTCAGTTGAAAAGCATAAACTATAAACCAGTGGCACACATGTGTATCCTGAATGACCAATCAAACTTTCTATTACATAGCGCTAAGGCATTATTGTAGCTATGCTCTCAAGTCCCAACTACGAGCTGGATATTTCACAATTTTTCTAGCGGTCAGACTACGCTCCAGCACGCCTGGATGAAATGAGAAAATATTGATAAAATAATCCAGTTTTCCCCAAAACTTAGCAGCCATACGTTTAAGTTTTGTCTAGTATCGTTCACCAAAATGACTAGAACTTCATTTTTCCCCTGAATAACAAAGACATATAAGGCAAACATTCGTTTGCTGAATGATCTATCAAACTTTATTACTTAGCGGCTATCGCATCGTTCTAACGAAGCTGGGTCCCAAGATAGAGATTCCATGACTTACACAGCGGCTATAATAAGCTCATGTACGGTGTGATAAACTTCGATACATACAACTCTGATTCTTCCAAGCGAGCCATGGTCACAACATGACGTATGTAATTCTAACTGGCGTGGCACAAACATATTGCTATGTGTTTTTCTTAACCCTCACCTGACTACGTCATATAAAAAAAATCCGTCACTACGACGTCGCAGTAACTTAATAAGGGCCTCCAAAGTATAATAACTTATATCCAAGACGCGCAGACGTTCACCCGAAATCAAGCAAGCTATTTCTCTCGTTTTCTCGTGAAAATTCCAATATGAGAGAGATCGCTGACGTTCGTGAGTTCGTTATAGTTGGCGAAGGTGCCATTTCGGGCGATCGTAGCTATACTTTGGCAAGCTCTTTGACGTGACTGGGAGGTCGTAGTGACCTAATCTTTGGATGACGGAGTCAGGTGGGAAATAAGACATACAAAAATGGTTGTATCACGCTAAATAGAAGTACTTACGTAGTGAACATGCGGCCTCCAAACATAGAATACCGTACGTCCAGGTTTTTTTATATTGTTATCCGCAACATATAGTAAAAAAAAGATTCAGAACTATCTCGCTACATTTGTGCGGTGTCGCTTGTAGCAAAGTTGCGTCACATGTCAAAAAAAATTTGGCAAACTGAACAAATTTGAACTAACTCACCATATTTCAACTAACGCTCTCTTCTACTTCAGAATGATTTTAGACAGCATTCGTACAGTCGTAATCTGGATCGTTAGTTTGTGTTTGCTCTGGGAAGAATTCCAATATCTGCAGGTGAGTTTATATATAAATCCATAAATCCGAATTTGTGTGAACTTTCTGCTCCTATTCTTCTAATATTGATCTCGGTCGCTCGAGGAGGTTTTCATCTATATGCATGTTCCCAGTACGATTTACTTTTCGTGAAAGTCGACTTCTGTTGATTAATTTTATTTCTAGCTATTATTGTGACGGTATACGAGATTATGTGTCAAAAGCTAGATAAAACACTGATACGACCAGCAATTACGGCAACGAGGAATTGAATATACACATCGATGGGTACTCCCGTAGTGTGCGTACCAGGTTAGGGTTAGGCCATAATTATATACTGATTTTCCTTATTTTAGTTCGATTACGAGTTCGGGGACTTCTTTGTTAGCCAGGTGAATATACCCTCTGCCCATAGGTTTCAGTCCCTTCACACAACTTGATGTTAAGAAGGCGAACAAAATTAGTTATCCCTATATTGATACACATACTTCTGAAGCGCCCCCCCCCCTCGATGTACCTACCTCAAAAATTTGAACTTACTGCAATTGGCCGTTGGTATTTAGCGACGCAGGTGATCCAACCGCTTGGAGTGCGGAATATCCCGTCATTTTGCAACCTGAGGAAAAACAAGAATTTGATTAAAATGCCAATATTATTTTATGCAGATCATTGGATTCATCGTTTTACTACTGGGAACATCACTCTACGTTATTCCGTTTCATCAAATATTCAACAATTATGGAGTACTTTGAATTCACAAATGAGAAAAGCACATCAACTCTTGAACGCCGTATTAAAGCGACCTTTCCTGATGAGCTGTAAGCTTTGTACATCCGTGCTGTAACTTTTTATTTGGATGGCTAAAAGAAACCAAAAACACGCTCTAGCTTGGATACAAGAACAGCTGAACACAAGAACAGACAATCAAATAAGAATGCACTGACTATAGCCAAAATCATTGAACCACCGTCTAATATTATTCGTGACTGCTAGTATGCGGCGCGACGGATGTCACTTGACGTTTTAATCAATGATTGCAACACAAAAAACAATAATGTTCTAATGATAAGATAGAATCGCCGCTTACGAAATTTGAAACTATTGAAGTAGATAGGCAACTTATAGCCTATTCCCCTCTGCTGCTGCAAGTATGAGCAACCATGTCACAATAGTCTTTGTATTTGTTACAAGTTTCATTTCAATGCTTTCTGGACAACTATCCAGTTTAGTCAAGTAAAGGTTCGAAGTCTTATTCTGGTATTAGGTCAGCTTTAATTTTTTGATGTTTTTCTTTCCTTCTGCTTTATTAATTTTTTGCTTGCAAGCATTTTACTTAAATCGACATCAATTTTGTTTTACCATAAGCATTTGAGCAAATCAAAGTGGTAGATGGCACTAGACAGCTTACGCACAGTATTCCTGCATTCCCTAATGTTTCACTCGCTCACATAGCTTCCTATCTGAGGTCTTATTTAGAGCGAACATATGAAAATAACATTTCTCTTTAACCCGACGTCGTCTTCCCAACCTAGGGGGTTGTTGCTTTCATAAAAATTAGAAGTATGTCTTTGTATTCGGAATTGTTTTTCTGATATTGTTTAGGTATTTAGTATTATTGTAATACATATTCATAGACAGAATATATTCCATTCAAACTGTACAAGAGCCAGTGTCCGAATTGCACCCATTATTAGTAGAGGTGCAACTAGTAGTTTATTAAATTATCAAGTATTTTGCCTTGCAACGTGCAGGAAAAATTTCTTGCTATCGGCTAGGTCCTATTTCAAGGGTAGGGCTTATATTACAATCATTTTTTAAAATTCAGGCTAGTTCTCATTTTCGGGGAAACACGATAAGAACCACTGACTTTAACTGATATCACGCGCCTGTTAGCTACATCAGCCGGGCGATCCATCAATCAATGCGCTGATATGTAGTCATACGTTAGCCAACACACTTATTGACGGCAACACTGACGTAATAATTCAATCACGGGAAAATTGAATATCTATTAAGATGTGATGATAGCCTCAGTTTTGCACGAGCTTCGTGTAAGACAATTCTGATTCATTGCGGTATATTGCAATCAAAATACTAGAAATAAAATGCCTCAGAATATGAGACAAACACACAATTCTTTGTGTATATTGCGAGGCAGTGGAAATCTCATATATGTTCAAGACACTTTATCAATGAGTTTGCCTTGCAATGAAGTTCTTGGTTGAATTGGAAGGGTAGTGTTGTTTGAGAGCACAGCCAGATGTGAGCTGTTACAATGAAATTCCTATTCAAGGCATTTTATGATTATTTCGACTTCCAATGAAGTTCTGGTTTTGATTGCCACTACATCTCGGTAAAAATGGGTTGTGGGATATTTCGAAACAGTTTGTGATTGCAAAGCATACTTATTGCAGTACCATTTACAACTTGTTCGTGTTGTGCCGCGTAGCTCGCACGGTGGACTTGACTATAATAAGGTTAGCGAGTTAGAATCATGTCCCATTCTACCCTACACAAGGTATCATAAATTTAGTGCGGGGTATAAGTTCCAGTTTTAGTTTTTAACATAGAAGATATCCGTCTGATACATCTGTACTTGAATAGGTATTGTAATAATGTATTTGAACGAGACAGATACGAACGCGTAATAGTAGAACACGTTTATAGATGCGCGAATAGTCGTCTGTTGAGTAGCGGTTGTAGGAATTTCACTCTAACGTATCAATTCTATTCGACCTTATAACGTCATTAATTATAGAGTCTAGGATTATATAAATGCATATTGAATTCACAAAGTACTGTTACAAGTTTGTTACAGAGTCGGTTTTCAAGCAATTGGCTTGACCAGATATTTTAATCATTGTTTATTTATGTTCCTACTTCAATTAACACATATGTAGGGGCCCAGTAAACTATATATGATATCGGTATAATTTCTTCGCAATTCAAAAAATGTTAAAACTTTATGTAAGATTGTTCCTGTAGATATATAATTTCTGGCGATGCGACAAGATATTGATACGGTTGATAATTTATGACAGCAGTCCAAAACCCAAATTAACGTACAAATATTCTGTCAAACATGGACTTTAAACGAATCCCTTATCGATTAACTATTGCAATTGGAATGGTCGTTACCGGATCGATCAACACACTGGTGACAAAGTAAGTAAATGCATTGAGATATATATAAATAGTGGCGTTGCATGGTTGAAAATAGATAGATATTTACTTCTGAATATTTCATTAAAGTACATATTGCACAAGAACAAACAAACAAATTCCATGCAATAAAATCGGGGGCGGGCAAAACGACCCTATATCAGATCAAGTATTGTAAGTACCTCGGTTGGACGAAACGTTACAGAAATACATTTTTGTTTCTATGCAGCAAGACTCTTAAATTAAATGGTCATCTTTAGTCGGATACACTAGCGCAAAGGGTGGGGAAAGGTAGTTAGTTAGTCTTGCGTAGAACTGATAGTCAAGTACTGAAAGTAGATTAATTAACCCATGCGCATCATCTCACACAAGAATTAATAATTTAGTTAGGCAATGTCGAATGGTCACTCCAAGCCTGGGTAAATGCCTGAGATGGCATGCGCTGATAGCAAATTCGCACATAAAATGGTTTTTATGTAGTGATTGCATTTAACAGTGGCCTAGACACGAAACCTGCGAGTAGCTGGTTGGTCTTTCTCGATACTGTGGTTGAAAGATCAAATATTTCAGTATATCATATCGTGGCCCAAATGGCAACGCAGTTACTGCAGGTCCAATAATCATGGGTAACATAACGGTGCTCCGATTCGCAAATTTCAAAATTTGGGGTTGGAATACCATTTTACTCATGGAATAATACGTGAACCGAAGCGATTCCAGCCGTGTCGGTGAGTGCTTGCTTACCTTTTTGGAGTGAATATGTGGTAACACCACACAAAAATACTTATCACACTTGGCGTAGACAACATTTTTAGGGGGCATGAAAAATAAATATTTGTTAGATTTGATCTTGCGCGGCTTGTTTGTTTTTAAAATTTTTCACTTATTTCATTATTTAAGTTCCATCCACGTATTGTGAACGTGTTTTTGAATAAAACGTACCTTCGCCTTACGATCTGTTATTTGTAGCTAGTTATTTTTGAGGTGGGGCGCGAGAAGAGACAAATTCTAAAAATGGGGTGCGGCCTAAGAGGGTTTAAGAACCATTAGCGTGGAGCATTATGTCGCAAAATAATACCGATGTTTCGTATTTAGGTGGACTGACAGACAATCTGTTCCAGGTTGCAAAGACGGGAAGAATCCCGAACTTCACGAATTTGATCACCCGTTTTTGCAGGTAATTATCATCACGATTTTTGATAACGAAGAATGCATAAGTTTGTGAGTAGCTGTTGTTATTATTTTGCTACTATCGCCGCCCTCGGTACAAAGCTCGTGGTTATATTAAACTTCTGGCCAAACTTGGGTACCTCACTTTGAAATTTTGGAATGAAATCGGAATCATTCAAAGTTATTTCCACTTTTTGTTGTCGTTACTCGTTATGCATTAATTTTTCTAATTTCTCACCGTTTTTAGAGATTTGTTCTATGTAAGCAGATGAAAGAACATTGTATGTTCCGTTAATGCCAATACTTTTATGCTCATGTGCTGTTTGTGTATTGCGCATGTCGATCCTACCTAAATTTTGTCCCACGTATTCAGCGAATTCTGAATTGAAATTTTGTCTTATTTTACAGACAGTGGTGATGTTCATCGGTGAATTTTCATTATTAATCGTGTTCAAAATAATATGGCGATGGAGAACGTATCGTGGAAAAGAAACTGAAGACCTGGGAAATCAAAACTTTAACCCTTTACTGTTATTCATCCCTGCTTTTTGTGATATGATTGGAACTTCACTAATGTAAGTGTGCTTTGGGACAATAGAGCTTATATCGAAGTGGTTCTCAACGGCGAGCCCGTGGCCCACAGACCAGTTGGAGGTTGCCACATTGTCAAGCGCAAAGCTGGTTTTACTTTTCCCTATTTTCATTGCTTGATAAGATAATTTCACTTTGTTGAGCATGAATTCTTCGAACATAATTTGGAATCTACCTATCGAGATAACACTGGAATGATATAAATGAACGCTAAAAGCCACCGGAAGGTGTCCACAAGCCATAAAAGGTTGAGAACCACTGTTGTGAGGCCATTTCACGATCATATATCTGAATATTAAACTTTATTGTAACTATTTTTCCAAAGTGAAGGGTTCTGAACAAGACTGCATAACGAGCAAACACATAATTTCGTTAAACATTGTCAAACTTTTACCTGGCTAATATTAGGGCATAAGTTAGCTTTATCATGTATTATTCACCTTTTGATTTGCACTATCCATCTATCGCTGTTTTAAATGATTTATTGATCATTTTTGTTTTATTGATACAGATACATCGGCCTCACGTACACGTATGCATCGAGCACTACCATGTTTTCGGGTTCTATCATCATTTTCACAGCTTTACTTTCAGTCGCTTTTCTTCGTCGTGTCGTAAAAATCCCACAATGGATTGGGATAGGATGTGTTATCGTTGGACTAATCATTGTTGGACTCTCGGATGTTCTTTTTCCAGATAAAGGGGGAGATATCACTTACGGGAGAAATGAAATCATTACAGGTCAGCATTTATCAAGTATTGTGGGAACATGAAATACAAAAGTTACGACAGTAGAACGTGCACGACACCTAATAACACTGATTTGCTATGCAATTAACCAAAGCACGCTACACTTCAGGAGGCTTTTAGCACTCATGGTCCTGCTTATCATTCCAGCGGTTATTATGGAGTTATTATGATTGGTAGATTCTAAATCTTATTATGTTCAAACAATTCACGCTCAACAAAGTGAAAACACCCTGTGAAATAAACTTATCAAACAATGAAACTATGGAGAACGGGGAGAAGTAAAATCAAGTCTGCGACTGGTATTGTGGCCCCTTTGGGGGGACACGGGACCCCGGACCAAAATTTCTGCACTGTAGGGTTTAACAAACTGGGTAGTCTATGATAAACCTGAAAGATTCCAGTCATTCCGACAGCAGTAGCTTCTTATGAGTTAGCTGCTAATGACGCGTAATGTGACATGCTCGGCCCGGGAAATATTTAACAGAGATAGAATAGGATTTACATATTTATCCCGAGGGAAAGATGAGCCGATAAGATGGCTTAATTATATGGCGAACCACGGCCTCTTGTCAGGTTACCATTCCATGTCGGGTATGGGATCAGTTAGTTAGTTATTTTCCGAGCATGGACTTGATAACAATAACAATACAGAAAAGTGCTAATCATATATCAGTATATAGATAGCGTTTTTGTGCAAATAGTTATGGCTAATTGGTCACAAACATAAGTAATATACAAATTTTTACCTTTTGTAGGCGACCTTCTCATTGTCATAGCGCAAATAATTCATGCAATTCAGGTGGTTGTTGAGGAAAATTACGTCACTGCTAGGAATATCAATCCTATGCAAGTCGTAGGATGGGAAGGTAAGTTCCATTCACTCCTTCAATAAATCTTGGTAATTTATCAAGACCATTGCCAGAATAGGGAGTCCATAAAGTCGCTTAACAATTTCAATTTTATTATGAAGTCAGTTCTCAATACACCTTAACAAAGATTGTTGTTCTTTAATCAATAATTATTCAATTTTTTTTTTACTTTATTTAATACATCCGGGAAGGCCAAAACAATATATGGTATCGACAAATTCCCTAATTTTTTTTTAAATTTATATAAGCACTTGAAACAAATTTTGCGTATAAGACCTGTTAAGTTAAAAAGCAGCAACTCCTGTTTGATATATTGGATATCTAATTTTGATTAATGTGTCCCGTTGCTGTTTACAACTTGGGCCGTTAGTTGTGAAAATACTCCTATCAATTCAAACCCTCATATCCTGAAATTCCAGGGTCCCCTGTAATATTTTTTTCTGACCTTATCCATTTATCGATGACACACACACACTAATATATATTATACTCCAGTCATTAGTAAAAGTATTTTGTTCATGTTCATCTTCACCAATGCATTCACCATTATTTAGCTAAATTTTAAAACTTTCCAGCATTAAAAAGCAATAAATGAAAATAGAAGAATTATTGATATTAGTGGGGGGAAACTGGAAAAGGTCTTCTTTTCCTTACAAACAATGCTTATATTCTCTAATGTGCAAGTTCCAAATGTTAAAATAAAAGAAACGCTCTTTTTGTTGAAAGGTTTTTTCGGAATGACGACACTGGGCTTTCTACTCATACCAATGTATTTCATTGAGACCGGCCATGATAGTGACGTCATTTCACGGTTGGAAGATCCCTTGGACGGATTGTGTCAAATTGTAAGCAATTGGAAGATGGCGCTTGCTACGTTCGGTACCATTGTTAGCATTGGGTTATTTAATTTTAACGCAATGAGTGTCACACGAGAGTTAAGCGCCACAACAAGGTTAGCGAAAGTTATGTTTAAGAATACAGTTTTTTTGTTTGTAATACGTTTCATACTGACATAGTAAGTATGAGAAAACATATGTTAAATATAATAAACACATAATGATATAATAATTCAATTTATACAAAATGATCAAAGACTCTCTAAAAGTTTTGAGCCTAATTATACGTTTTTTTCCTTTCCTGACATCTTTTATTCATGTTCGGCTAAGATTCTACTTCAAAACGCGACCTTCAAAATTTTTCTACCTAAAATATTAGTGAAAATAATAGGTATGTTTCAATAATTGTGTTGGAACTTCTGATAACGCGCCGTGGTAAATTGCCAAGAAGAATAGGCACAAGATGGCGTTCATTGTCTGAGCGTTTCCTCGATTATATTATGTATACGCTTTGTAAAAGACTAGCTTATCAAATTATAACAAACTCACCATTAGAGCATATTTCCATTAACATCGGGCATCTTCAACTTTTAGAATGGTACTGGGCAGCATCAATACAGCCGCAGTCTGGCTCGTTAGTTTGTGTTTGCTCTGGGAAGAATTCCAATATCTGCAGGTGAGTATATACCTATGTATAAATCCGAATTCACCTGGAACTGTCGGCTACAGCTATCGGTTCTAGGAAGAGTTTGGCAACTAAAAGGTCTATGCTAATTGCTCTAAACAAAATTGAATGACCCACAATTAGCCACAATTAACAATGTTCGGTACTTTTACACGCCTTGCACAGCGGCGGTTTAATTACTGTGTCGGTTTTAGTGAAGGGCATGCGACTGCAGCTCGGTGAAGAACATTGAGGCCAACCAATCGCAACTAGAAGTCCCGTAACAAATCATGCCTTACGTGAAGATAAATAAACCTCACTTTTCCAATAGCGTACAATATTGTACTTAAACCTACCTATCTGTTTTCAAAGTCAAATGTACAGGGTGGGTTAAAAGTAGGATAACAGGTATCTATGGTTATTAATTTTATATCTGATGACCTATTTTTGGTCCATCCTATATATATATATACAGGGAGTTCTCGGGTTACGACAGTCGCGATTTACGATGTTTCGAGGTTACAAACGCGCACTCCATAACGCTGTTTCGAGGTTACGAACGCACTTTACGAACATATACAGATATATAAGATAATACTGTACTGTAATAAATAAGCCTATAAACTGGATTATTGTGATCAAGAAAATCAGTGCTCTGGGCTCATTGGTTTTCGTTATTTACATCGTAAATGACGTGACCAATTGCGAACTATTACGATTATGAACGAATAATCACTGAGCTTCAGTCACATGGTACAGTACAGTACTGTACACAGTTCTAGTGATACAGTACCGGTTACACCGAGTCTCAGGAACGGAACTGCGTCGGAAGTCGAGGACTCCCTGTATTATATCATTAAGCGAGGCCGAAAAGATAAAAAAAATAGTTCTCCAACCCCCAGTAAATAGTTCTCCTATTCTATAACTGCTGATTGTTCCGAGGATACTCCCAAAATATGTGAACCAAGATGGCGGACACCGGAACGTAGTATGTGTACCAGGTTATGGTTAGGCCATAATTTCAGGTACAAATACTACGGGAGTCACTAGTCCCCGAACTCGTAATAGAACTAAAATAGGGGAAAATTGAATAAAATTATGCCCTAACGTCGCCTAACTCTAACCTGGTACACATACTATGTTCCGGTGTCCGCCATCTTGATTCACATACTACGGAAGCGCCGTTCCGAGTAACGTTTTTTCTAACTTCACCTTTATCAACACTGCAGTCTTTGGATAAAACCCGCTATCATGGTGGGTACCCACGCGACTGTCAGTAGAGCAATGATAAGATCCTTTCTAAAGACAATATGGTGATTGGGTACACATATAGTTACTTCCAATGTAAACAACAACAAGCGAAATTAACCTGATGTAATCTCCGACATTAATCTACGCAGATCATTGGGTTTATCATTTTACTCTTGGGAACTTCGCTCTACGTCATTCCGTTTCACCATGTTGTCCGCAAATATGAACAGCTTTGAGGCGACCTATGAGAAGATATGAATTTGGCGTCTGTGAATATGCTTTCCCGTTGTATCTGGGCAGTTACCGGCATTGGCATACCAGCAAACTAAGCGTTTAAAACAACAAGTTCCTCAAAAGAAGACTACGGAGACCCAACCAGCTTGTCTCGACCTGAACTGCGCTAGTCTGGAATATTTGTAGCGTCATAGAACAATTTCACTAAGTGTGATGTAACACAGCAAAAGTGGATATAAACACAGTTGCCAGTTTTGGCCACAATTTTGAATGGTAATTTTGCAGATTATATGAAATATTAGCTCTTACGAAATCCTTCTGTAATATCCTGCTTTAGTCAGTCATAATTTTAAGCAGGCATACATCACTACACATGTATTTGGTTTTTATTTGTGATTTATTCAATATTTTTTTGGTAACGATGCCAGTATCACTTGAGCTGGCAGAGGTAAATTTGTTAGAACAAGATGGACGTCTGTTAAGATTTTTTTCCGGGCTCATGCTTTGACTTCAAGTATTTCGAGCCAAGAAAGAAGTTTTAGTGAATTTTTATTTGTAATTTTGGACCAAGAAGGTAATCTATTTTATTTCCATGGCTTACTTGTATCCGCCGAGGTCATTATCAATAAAGAATAAAATTGAATAATGCTGATTTAGCGGCGATAGGCTAATATCTCTACATTATTTGTTTCTGATTCCGGAGCGGGAATACAGTAAAATGTACTAGGGCGGTAACATGTAATACACTTCTGTATCTCTAATACACTAGCTGTTCACATATGGGTCATGCTTTCCACAAAGCAGTGTAGCTTGTAGTAAATACATTTTTACAACGAGAGTGCATAAATACAAAATATTTAATAGCAGTTTTGAGACTCTCGATAAAGATACTTTATCAAATAAAAGTTTATGTGACCCAAACATTAATTTTTATTGTTCCCAACAGATTCATGATCATAACTCGTGCAACCTCACCTCGGTTGACAGTGGTAATCTGCGACAAATCTATTATATGTTAACGCAAGCGTCATGATATCGAGTGCATGTATGTGTCGTCAAATTTCAAATGGTTTAAAACGGGAAATCATTCTATTGCTTATAACTTCCTGGTGTCATATGCTTTGATGAACTCTAAGAAATTGCTTGACTTAAGCAAATTCAAGATCATAACTCGTGCAAGAACAACACCACTGTTGTATTATGCGACAAATTCATTACATGGCCAACGCAAGCGTCACGATAGAGAGTGTGAGTGTTTTCAAATTTCAAATGGTTTAAAACAGGAAGTCTTTCTATTTCTTACAATTTCCTGGTGTCATATATCGTGATAACTGTAAGAAATTACCTGGCAATTAAGTGATTGTTACCAGCAAATTCAAGATCATAACGGCGTCGTTGCAGCAATCTGCGACAAATCTACTATATGACTAATGCGGACGTTACGAAATCGGGTGTATGTATGTGTCGTCAAATTTCAAATGGTTTAAATCAGGAAGTCTTTCTATTGCTTATGATTTCCTGGTGTCAATTTCCTGCTGTAATGAACTCTAAGAAATTGCTTGGCAATAAAGTGCAGCCTTGGGATTTTAGGAAAAATATGATCGCCAAGTCTCGAAACCCAACCCTCGGGGATTTCGTGTGAGCATCGGTCTACGAGTGATAAAACTTGAAATTCCAAGAACAGGTTCACTTTTTTATTGGAATTACCAAACAACAGGTTCCCTGAATTAATGGAGGATATTTTGTCACTGCGTAAGGTACAATAAAACATGAAAAGCTATAAATGAGTTTAATGCATAACATTCGAAGCGCCAATTAACCCGCTAGTTGTCAGCTACGGTGCACGTTGACCCTAAAGTCTAAAACAAAAAACATGAACAGATTCCGGGTTCTCGGATTCCGAAAACGGGTTCTCGCTAGTAGTTGAGTTGTAAACATTCTTGCAGTAGTACAATGAAAAGCTAACGGTTTTCATAATAAGAAATTAGGGATATAACATATCTAAGGCATCAAAAATTGACGGGAATTTTTGTAAAGCCGGCACATTCTATGAAGAAGATGAACTTTATATTTTTTATTATTAGTAGTAGTCGTGGAATAGTTTTATAAGTCTAGCGAATTACATATTGCATCACTACGATGAAATATCAACGACTTATGTAATAGCAGGATATTAGAGATAGTATATATTTGACTACAATATTTTTAAACTCTGGCATTCCATAATCTAGAACAGGGCTGTGCAACAGTTGGCACCAGGGCCACGCCCGCCACGCCAACCATGTAGTATTGCCCTTGTCATCACCTAGATTTTTCCTATCAATCATGATATCCTAATACGACAGTTTATTTTTGAAAATGCTCTGGTGACGGTGCTTTTATTACTGCAAAACCAAACGATAGCCGCATTCTCTTCTCTAGCCTTTCCCGCTAAATCTTTTTTGTATCCCGGTTAGATGTGGTTATATGGCCCACCGATCAAAAATGTTGAACACACCTGCTGTAGTATGAACGTATTTACCGGATTCACAATTCCGTGCGCGTACAAAAATAAAATAATTGTCATCGTTATCGTGGAACAAATTTGCGGAAAATTTCCGTTTTAGAGAAAATAACACAATCGTAAAGGCGTTTACGGGCCTAAATAACACGTTACGCTGATGAGTGATGAAAACAATCACGCGCAAGTTTCTATCGAGAATGTTTTCATTCAACGGAAACGTCTTGAAAGCGGCGTCGAAAATGTGTGACTTCACACAAATATCCGATATTCTTTTGAACGCTAATTCCGATATTCGAATGACGAGATATTCGAATTGGCCATCCCTGCCGACCAGCTATTACGGCAACGAGGAATTGAATAAACACATCGATGGGTACTCCCGTAGTGTGCGTACCAGGTTAGGGTTAGGCCATAATTATATACTGATTTTCCTTATTTTAGTTCGATTAAGAGTTCGGGGACTTTTTTGTTAGCCAGGTGAATATACCTTCTGCCCATAGGTTTCAGTCCCTTCACACAACTTGATGTAAAGAAGGCGAACAAAATTAGTTATTTCTATAGTGATACACATACTTCTGGAGCGCCCCCCCCCCTCTCTATGTACCTACCTCAAAAATTTGAACTTATTGCACTTGGCCGTTGGTATTTAGCGACGCAGGTGATTCAACCGCTTGGAGTGCAGAATATCCCGTCATTTTGCAACCTAAAGAAAAACAAAAATTTAAATAAAATGCCAGTATTATTTTATGCAGATCATTGGATTCATCGTTTTACTACTGGGAACATCACTCTACGTTATTCCGTTTCATCAAATATTCAACAATTATGGAGTACTTTGAATTCACGAATGAGAAAAGCACATCAACTCTTGAACGCCGTATTAAAGCGACTTTTCCTGATGAGCTGTAAGCTTTGTACATCCGTGCTGTAACTTTTTATTTGGATGGCTAAAAGAAACTAAAAACACGCTCTAGCCTGGATACAAGAACAGTTGAACACAAGAACAGACAACCAAATAAGATTGCAATGACTATAGCCAAAATCATCGAACCACCGTCTAATAATACTAGTGACTGCTAGTATGTGGCGCGACGGATGTCACTCGACTATTATTAATGATCGCAACACTAAAAATAAAGATGTTCTAATGATTAGATAGAATTGCCGCTCACGAAATTTGAAACTATTGAAGTAGATAGGCAACTCATAGCCTATTTCCCTCTGCTGCTGCAAGTATGAGCAACCATGCCACAATAGTCTTTGTATTTGTTACAAGTTTCATTTCAATACTTTTTGGACAACTATCCAGTTTAGTCAAGTAAAGAAGTAAAGGTTCGAAGTCCTATTCTGTTATTAAGTCAGCTTTAATTTTTTGATCTGTTTTCCTTTCCTTCTGCTTTATTAATTTTTTGCTTACAAGCATTTTACTTAAATCGACATCAATTTTGTTTTACCATGAGCATTTGAGCAAATCAAAGTGGTAGATGGCACTAGACAGCTTACGCACAGTATTCCTGCATTCCCTAATGTTTCACTCGCTTACATAGCTTCCTATCTGAGGTCTTATTCGGAGCGAACATATGAAAATATCATTTCTCTTTAACCCGACGACGAAGTATGTCTTTGTATTCGGAATTGTTTTTCTGATATTGTTTAGGTATTTAGTATTATTGTAATACATATTCATAGACAGAATATATTCCATTCAAACTGTACAAGAGCCAGTGTCCGAATTGCACCCATTATTAGTAGAGGTGCAACTAGTAGTTTATTAAATTATCAAGTATTTTGCCTTGCAACGTGCAGGAAAAATTTCTTGCTATCGGCTAGGTCCTATTTCAAGGGTAGGGCTTATATTACAATCATTTTTTAAAATTCAGGCTAGTTCTCATTTTCGGGGAAACACGATAAGAACCACCGACTTTAACTGATATCACGCGCTTGTTAGCTACATCAGCCGGGCGAACCATCAATCAATGCGCTGATATGTAGTCATACGTTAGCCAACACACTTATTGACGGCAACACTGACGTAATAATTCAATCACGGGAAAATTGAATATCTATTAAGATGTCATGATAGCCTCAGTTTTGCACGAGCTTCGTGTAAGACAATTCTGATTCATTGCGGTATATTGCGATCAAAATACTAGAAATAAAATGCCTCAGAATATGAGACAAACACACAATTCTTTGTGTATATTGCGAGGCAGTGGAAATCTCATATATGTTCAAGGTACTTTATCAATGAGTTTGCCTTGCAATGAAGTTCTTGGTTGAATTGGAAGGGTAGTGTTGTTTGAGAGCACAGCCAGATGTGAGCTGTTACAATGAAATTCCTATTCAAGGCATTTTATGATTATTTCGACTTCCAATGAAGTTCTGGTTTTGATTGCCACTACATCTCCGTAAAAATGGGTTGTGGGATATTTCGAAACAGTTTGTGATTGCAAAGCATACTTATTGCAGTACCATTTACAACTTGTTCGTGTTGTGCCGCGTAGCTCGCACGGTGGACTTGACTATAATAAGGTTAGCGAGTTAGAATCATGTCCCATTCTACCCTACACAAGGTATCATAAATTTAGTGCGGGGTATAAGTTCCAGTTTTAGTTTTTAACATAGAAGATATCCGTCTGATACATTTGTACTTGAATAGGTATTGTAATAATATATTTGAACGAAACAGATACGAACGCGTAATAGTAGAACACGTTCATAGATGCGCGAATAGTCGTCTGTTGAGTAGAGGTTGTAGGAATTTCACTCTAACGTATCAATTCTATTCGACCTTATAACGTCATTAATTATAGAGTCTAGGATTATATAAATGCATATTGAATTCACAAAGTACTGTTACAAGTTTGTTACAGAGTCGGTTCACAAGCAATTGGCTTGACCAGATATTTTAATCATTGTTTATTTATGTTCCTACTTCAATTAACACATATGTAGGGGCCCAGTAAACTATATATGATATCGGTATAATTTCTTCGCAATTCAAAAAATGTTAAAACTTTATGTAAGATTGTTCCTGTAGATATATAATTTCTGGCGATGCGACAAGATATTGATACGGTTGATAATTTATGACAGCAGTCCAAAACCCAAATTAACGTACAAATATTCTGTCAAACATGGACTTTAAACGAATCCCTTATCGATTAACTATTGCAATTGGAATGGTCGTTACCGGATCGATCAACACACTGGTGACAAAGTAAGTAAATGCATTGAGATATATATAAATAGTGGCGTTGCATGGTTGAAAATAGATATATATTTACTTCTGAATATTTCATTAAAGTACATATTGCACAAGAACAAACAAACAAATTCCATGCAATAAAATCGGGGGCGGGCAAAACGACCCTATATCAGATCAAGAATTGAAAGTACCTCGGTTGGACGAAACGTTACAGAAATACATTTTTGTTTCTATGCAGCAAGACTCTTAAATTAAATGGTCATCTTTACTCGGATACACTAGCGCAAAGGGTGGGGAAAGGTAGTTAGTTAGTCTTGCGTAGAACTGATAGTCAAGTACTGAAAGTAGATTAATTAACCCATGCGCATCATCTCACACAAGAATTAATAATTTAGTTAGGCAATGTCGAATGGTCACTCCAAGCCTGGGTAAATGCCTGAGATGGCATGCGCTGATAGCAAATTCGCACATAAAATGATTTTTATGTAGTGATTGCATTTAACAGTGGCCTAGACACGAAACCTGCGAGTAGCTGGTTGGTCTTTCTCGATACTGTGATTAAAAGATCAAATATTTCAGTCAGGGTTGTCCAAAACGAATCGAATATTCGAATGTATTCGAATATCAAAGTATTCGAATACATTTTCGGCTGATTTTCGAATAATTCCGAATAGTAGCCACTTTTCGCCGTGAACGTGGTGTTTCGTTTTACGGGAATCTTCAAACGGATTTTTACGCTGTCTCACGTATTGTAATGACGATGAATCGGCACTTTGATTGTTTATATTCTGTGCGACCGTACGTCGCATAGTGTTGCGACACATTTGCACGTTTGCGTGGGTGGACATTGCCGACATTCGTCTACGAGGCTTCTAATTTACAAATTCATTTCCATTACGTCGAAAAATTGACAATTACTGTATTTCCCGGCTAATAATAAGTTGCTTTTCTAGGTCACCGAGATAAAGTTATTTGTGACCCTTTCGTTTCGCCGATTCAGCAGAACACGACAGGAAAACACAGCTGTGAAATAACCCGTGGACGTACAGTGTATTACTTATCACATTCCAAAATTATTTCAACATTCTGGTTAATAGGTTGTCCAAAATGATTGCCGCTTTACAACTTAAATTTACCGCTCAATTGTTAAAAATAGTCAATTCTGTGAGTATGATTCTACCAAACTAACATGATCTGGTTCTAAACATTTAAAATTATTAGCGCATATCAGCATAACTGAACAACAGGGACACAATTTTTTCTACCCGTCTTATTGGAGGTCATGTAGACTTATTAGCCGGGAAATACGGTATTTATATCAGTCATTGTTACGATATCCAATAAATTGTCACAAGTTGGAAAAACAAGTCGATTTATTAGAAAATAATTTCTGGCAAATAATTCTGATAACGATAGTTAAAAGTATCGATCCTTTACCAGGATGATTTTTTGTTGCGCAAAATAATGCAATCCATGACTGGTACTGGTATCGAAAATCTGTGGACATAAAATGTGTGGTAAACTGACCGATTTTATTAAATATTTATTCCTTTTTTTATATTGATAAAATAATGAAAGTATTAATACCAGGGTTGTCCAAAACGAATCGAATATTCGAATATCATAGTATTCGAATACCTTTTCGGCTGATTTTCGAATAATTCCGAATAGTAGCCACTTTTCGCCGTAAACGTGGTGTTTCGTTTTACGGGAATCTTCAAACGACTTTTCACGCTGTCTCACGTATTGTAATGACGATGAAATAGAATCGGCACTTTGATTGTTTATATTCTGTGCGATCGTACGTCGCATAGTGTTGCGACACATTTGCACGTTTGCGTGGGTGGACATTGCCGACATTCGTCTACGAGGCTTTTAATTTACAAATTCATTTCCATCACGTGGAAAAATTGACAATTACCGCTTTTCTAGGCCCAATTTTTTGGCCTGATTTTTTTTTGGGGGGCGTCTAATTGAGAAAGTATGTTTATTTTATTTCTATGTGGCCTGCTTATTAGTCTTCTCAAGCATGATTTGTGTAACCTTATATTTGGGTCTTAGGGTCTGCCAATCATGATATTTAATCGCAGGCCGGTTATCGTTACTTTAAAGAGAAACAGGGCCACCGAGTGAAAGTGATTTGTGACCCTTTCGTTTTGCCGATTCAGCAGAATACGACAGGGACAGGAAAACGCAGCTGTGAAATAACCCGTGGACGTACAGTGTAATACTTATCACATTCCAAAATTATTTTAACATTCGGGTTAATAGGTTGTCCAAAATGATTGCCGCTTTACAACTTAAATTTACCGCTCAATTGTAAAAAATAGTTAATTCTGTGAGTATGATTCTACCAAACTAACATGATCTGGTTCTAAACATATAAAATTATTAGCGCATATCACAGGGACACATTTTTCTACCAGTCTTATTGGAGGCCTATATGGAAAAAAACCTTTTTTGAGTGCTAAAAATAGACATCGTCCTATTTGCCATGTGGACTTATTAGCCGGGAAATACGGTATTTATAGCCGTCATTGTTACGATATCTAATAAATTGGCACAAGTTGGAAAAACAAGTTGATTTATTAGAAAATAATTTCTGGCAAATAATTTTGATAACGATAGTTAAAAGTATCAATCCTTTACCAGGATGATTTTTTGTTGCGCAAAATAATCCAATCCTTGACTGGTACCAGCATTTAAAATGTCATGTCGTATTAATTTAATTCCGTTCAACGTAACTCATTGTTGTATGGACAATCTGTGGACATAAAATGTGTGGTAAACTGACCGATATTATTAAATATTGATTCCTATTTTCATATTGAGAAAATAATGAAAGTATTAATACCAAATACCACGGGTATTTGTGGACATGAAATACGTGGTAAACTGCCCAATTATATTTAATTTTGGATTCGTATTTACAAAATAATAAAACTATTATAATGCAACGGCGATCTGTGGCCTTAAAATGTGTGGTAAACTGCCCGATTTACCAACATTTGAGTTATGATTATAGAACTAAATTAACACGGTAAGGCATTTTAAATAGTGGTATCAGTCATGAATTCGAATATTTTACGCAGCACAAAATCATCCTAGTAAAAAGTCCATACTTTTAAATACAAATCAATGGCAACCATTATCTAAATTAGTTCCCAAAAAGCGGGATAAAGTATAAATTCTTTCTCCGACTTGTGAAATTTTTTCGTGAGTGCGAAAATAAGAATCAAAAACTAATTATATTCGGCACAATATCACGGCAATCTGTGGACATAAATTGTGTGGCAAACTCGCGATTAATATTAATTTTTGATTCCTATTTTTGTATCTACAAAATACAACGGCGATCTGTGGACTTAGAAAAGTCGGAAAAATAACTCATACTTTATCCCGCTTTTTGGCAAATAATTTGGATAATGGTTGATATTTAAAAGTATGGGCGTTTTACTAGGATGATTTTGTGTTGCGCAAATATTCAAATCCATCACCGATACCACTATTGCCGTATTAATTTAATTCTGTTAACATGACTCAAGGTATATAAAACATATACTGCAATAATCTGCAAATATGAAATGCCTGGTAATATAACTAGGTTGTAACTTGTAGATAGCAGTTATTCCATTGCTTATTGTATGGAAATTCCTACATACATTTAGATAAGCTTCAATTAGTGAATTTTATTTTCGAAGTATTCGAAATTTCATATTCGAAAAAAATAATTTCGAATGTATTCGAAATAGTGAACTATCCGGTATTGGCCATCCCTGATTTCAGTATATCATATCGTGGCCCAAATGGCAACGCAGTTACTGCAGGTCCAATAATCATGGGTAACATAACGGTGCTCCTATTCGCAAATTTCAAAATTTGGGGTTGGAATACCATTTTACTCATGGAATAATACGTGAACCGAAGCGATTCCAGCCGTGTCGGTGAGTGCTTGCTTACCTTTTTGGAGTGAATATGTGGTAACACCACACAAAAATACTTATCACACTTGGCGTAGACAATATTTTTAGGGGGCATGAAAAATAAATATTTGTTAGATTTGATCTTGCGCGGCTTGTTTGTTTTTAAAATTTTTCACTTATTTCATTATTTAAGTTCCATCCACGTATAGTGAACGTGTTTTTGAATAAAACGTACCTTCGCCTTACGATCTGTTATTTGTAGCTAGTTATTTTTGAGGTGGGGCGCGAGAAGAGACAAATTCTAAAAATGGGGTGCGGCTTAAGAGGGTTTAAGAACCACTAGCGTGGAGCATTATGTCGCAAAATAATACCGATGTTTCGTATTTAGGTGGACTGACAGACAATCTGTTCCAGGTTGCAAAGACGGGAATAATCCCGAACTTCACGAATTTGATCACCCGTTTTTGCAGGTAATTATCATCACGATTTTTGATAACGAAGAATGCATAAGTTTGTGAGTAGCTGTTGTTATTATTTTGCTACTATCGCCGCCCTCGGTACAAAGCTCGTGGTTATATTAAACTTCTGGCCAAACTTGGGTACCTCACTTTGAAATTTTGATAACTTAAATCGGAATCATTCAAAGTTATTTCCACTTTTTGTTGTCGTTACTCGTTATGCATTAATTTTTCTAATTTCACACCGTTTTTAGAGATTTGTTCTATGTAAGCAGGTGAAAGAACATTGTATGTTCCGTTAATGCCAATACTTTTATGCTCATGTGCTGTTTGTGTATTGCGCATGTCGATCCTACCTAAATTTTGCCCCACGTATTCAGCGAATTCTGAATTGAAATTTTGTCTTATTTTACAGACAGTGGTGATGTTCATCGGTGAATTTTCATTATTAATCGTGTTCAAAATAATATGGCGATGGAGAACGTATCGTGGAAAAGAAACTGAAGACCTGGGAAATCAAAACTTTAACCCTTTACTGTTATTCATCCCTGCTTTTTGTGATATGATTGGAACTTCACTAATGTAAGTGTGCTTTGGGACAATAGACCTATATCGAAGTGGTTCTCAACGGCGAGCCCGTGGCCCACAGACCAGTTGGAGGTTGCCACATTGTCAGGCGCAAAGCTGGTTTTACTTTTCCCTATTTTCATTGCTTGATAAGATAATTTCACTTTGTTGAGCATGAATTCTTCGAACATAATTTGGAATCTACCTATTGAGATAACGCTGGAATGATATAAATGAACGCTAAAAGCCACCAGAAGGTGTCCACAAGCCATAAAAGGTTGAGAACCACTGTTGTGAGGCGATTTCACGATCATATATATATATGAATATTAAACTTTATTTTAACTATTTTTCTGGGTTCTGAACAAGACTGCATAACGAGCAAACACATAATTTCGTTAAACATCGTCAAACTTTCACCTTGCTAATATTAGGGCATAAGTTAGCTTTATCAAGTATTATTCACCTTTTGATTTACACTATCCATCTATCGCTGTTTTAAATGATTTATTGATCCTTTTTGTTTTATTGATACAGATACATCGGCCTCACGTACACGTATGCATCGAGCACTACCATGTTTTCGGGTTCTATCATCATTTTCACAGCTTTACTTTCAGTCGCTTTTCTTCGTCGTGTCGTAAAAATCCCACAATGGATTGGGATAGGATGTGTTATCGTTGGACTAATCATTGTTGGACTCTCGGATGTTCTTTTTCCAGATAAAGGGGGAGATATCACTTACGGGAGAAATGAAATCATTACAGGTCAGCATTTATCAAGTATTGTGGGAACATGAAATACAAAAGTTACGACAGTAGAACGTGCACGACACCTAATAACACTGATTTGCTATGCAATTAACCAAAGCACGCTACACTTCAGGAGGCTTTTAGCACTCATGGTCCTGCTTATCATTCCAGCGGTTAATATGGAGTTATTATGATTGGTAGATTCTAAATCCTATTATGTTCAAACAATTCACGCTCAACAAAGTAAAAATACCCTGTGAAATAAACTTATCAAACAATGAAACTATGGAGAACGGGGAGAAGTAAAATCAATTCTGCGACTGGTGTTGTGGTCCCTTTGGGGGGACACGGGACCCCGGTCGAAAATTTCTGCACTGTAGGGTTTAACAAACTGGGTAGTCTATGATAAACCTGAAAGATTCCAGTCATTCCGACAGCAGTAGCTTCTTATGAGTCAGCTGCTAATGACGCGCATTGTGACATGCTCGGCACGGGAAATATTTAACAGAGATAGGATAGGATTTACATATTTATCCCGAGGGAAAGAAAAGCCATTAAGATGGCTTAATTATATGGCGAAACACTGCCTCTTGTCCGGTTACCATTCCATGTCGGGCATGGGATTAGTTAGTTATTTATTTTCCGAGCATGGACTTGATAACAATAACAATACAGAAAAGTGCTAATCATATATCAGTATATAGATTTGCGTTTTTGTGCAAATAGTTATGGCTAATTGGTCACAAACATAAGTAATGTACAAATTTTTACCTTTTGTAGGCGACCTCCTCATTGTCATAGCGCAAATTATTCATGCAATTCAGGTGGTTGTTGAGGAAAATTACGTCACTGCTAGGAATATCAATCCCATGCAAGTCGTAGGATGGGAAGGTAAGTTCCATTCACTCCTTCAATAAATCTTGGTAATTTATCAAGACCATTGCCAGAATAGGGAGTCCATAAAGTCGCTTAACAATTTCAATTTTATTATGAAGTCAGTTCTCAATACACCTTAACAAAGATTGTTGTTCTTTAATCAATAATTACTCACTTTTTTTTTACTTTATTTAATACATCCGGGAAGGCCAAAACAATATATGGTATCGACAAACTCCCCAAATTTTTTTAAAATTTATATATGCACTTGAAACAAATTTTGCGTCTAAGACCTGTTATGTTAAAAAGCAACAACTCGTGTTTGATATATTGTATATCTAATTTTGATTAATGTATCCCGTTGCTGTTTACAACTTGGGCCGTTAGTTGTGAAAATACTCCTATCAATTCAAACCCTCATATCCTGAGATTCCAGGATCCCCTGTAATATTTTTTTCTGACCTTATCCATTTATCGATGACACACACACACTAATATATATTATACTCCAGTCATTAGTAAAAGTATTTTGTTCATGTTCGTCTTCACCAATGCATTCACCATTATTTAGCTAAATTTTAAAACTTTCCAGCATTAAAAAGCAATAAATGAAAATAGAAGAATTATTGATATTAGTGGGGGGAAACTGGAAAAGGTCTTCTTTTCCTTACAAACAATGCTTATATTCTCTAATGTGCAAGTTCCAAATGTTAAAATAAAAGAAACGCTCTTTTTGTTGAAAGGTTTTTTCGGAATGACGACAATGGGCTTTCTACTCATACCAATGTATTTCATTGAGACCGGCCATGATAGTGACGTCATTTCACGGTTGGAAGATCCCTTGGACGGATTGTGTCAAATTGTAAGCAATTGGAAGATGGCGCTTGCTACGTTCGGTACCATTGCTAGCATTGGGTTATTTAATTTTAACGCAATGAATGTCACACGAGAGTTAAGCGCCACAACAAGGTTAGCGAAAGTTATGTTTAAGAATACAGTTTTTATGTTTGTAATACGTTTCATACTGACATAGTAAGTATGAGAAAACATATGTTAAATATAATAAACACATAATGATATAATAATTCAATTTATACAAAATGATCAAAGACTCTCTAAAAGTTTTGAGCCTAATTATACGTTTTTTTCCTTTCCTGACATCTTTTATTCATTTTTTTCCAATCATTGATTGGATCGACTTCGTGATGTTATGCAGTCAAAATAAACTTAGATTCAACCTTTTTATTGCTCAATAACTATTTTCCATAATAAACTAATAAACTCATAATACTAAATAATAACTAACTAATACTTCATAATCCATTATAAATAGGACTGGCTGATTGGTTTTGATAGGCGGGACTTCACCAGATAGCCTACCAAATTTACCAAATCACTAATAATTGCATGGGCCTAATTTTGCGTCGGACTCAGAACAAAGTACAAATTCATAGCTGCAACAAACCAAAAACCAAATTCTCGGTCTCCGCAGATAGCACTTTGGTATAACTTCATATGAAGTATGTTAGGTGTAATTTCTAGTCCAGGAACCCACCCAACTCCACCATGCAACCATGGCAAGCCCAAAATAAGTTTTTAAAACCGAGTAGCCTATTTCATTCAAGTGCTTTGTTTGGAGGAAAGTTGAAGTAAATACACGAAACGATAAAAGACTAACGGCCGGCAGTAAATACACGAAACGATAAAGGCCAACGGCCGGCAACCAACTTGCCTAATGTTAAACAAGTTCATGGACACCATCTTGTGCCATATTTGGGAAACGCGAAACAATGGAGTCTTATGGGAAATTTTCGTCGTGTTGTTGTACCGAATCGAATAAGTCCGCTGTTATAGGAGCTAGAATGAAACTGAAGGGTGGATTTGAACTTTAAGATATATGCTATCTAAATATATAACGCAATTAAGAATAAAAAACTATCTAATGCGTTAAATTTGACCCCAAACACAGCGTAGAACCATTTTTGGTCATTTTTTCAAAGATTTTATAGTGATACGCTAATTCGAGGCAGTAAAATGTCTTCGCACCAATCCTACAATGTCATTTGCTCTTCTAGTGCAGCTTGGAGCCGAGCAGTAAGGCATTATGGAGCTTGACAGACGAAAAATGTTAACCAGAAAATAGAAACGGCAATTGAAGCAAAGTTGGGTTGGCCGGTAATTTCGACGAATAAATACAACTTTTCTTCTGTGACGTCATAAGGAACTCCATTGTCAAATGGTTAATTATGACGATTAGAATGGCCAATTTACTTCGGAAGCAACTCGGAACCGGTATACTTGTCTTCAAAGACAATTTATTGTACTATAAATGTAATTTGGCCAACATGGAAGAATATAAGCATGTTCGGCTAAGATTCTACTTCAAAACGCGACCTTCAAAATTTTTCTACCTAAAATATTAGTGAAAATAATAGGTATGTTTCAATAATTGTGTTGGAACTTCTGATAACGCGCCGTGTTAAATTGCCGAGAAGAATAGGCACAAGATGGCGTCCATTGTCTGAGCGTTTCCTCGCTTATATTATGTATACGCTTTGCAAAAGACTAGCTTATCAAATTATAACAAACTCACCATTAGAGCATATTTCAATTAACATCGGGCATCTTCAACTTTTAGAATGGTACTGGGCAGCATCAATACAGCCGCAGTCTGGCTCGTTAGTTTGTGTTTGCTCTGGGAAGAATTCCAATATCTGCAGGTGAGTATATACCTATGTATAAATCCGAATTCACCTGGAACTGTCGGCTACAGCTATCGGTTCTAGGAAGAGTTTGGCAACTAAAAGGTCTATGCTAATTGCTCTAAACAAAATTGAATGACCCACAATTAGCCGCTAACAATGTACGGTACTTTAACACGCCTTCCACAGCGGCGGTTTGATTACTATTTGTCGGTTTTAGTGCAGGGCATGTGACTGCAGCTCGGTGAAGAACATTGAGGCCAACCAATCGCAACTAGAAGTCCCGTAACAAATCATGCCTTACGTGAAGATAAATAAACCTCACTTTTCCAATAGCGTACAATATTGTACTTAAACCTACCTATCTGTTCTCAAAGTCAAATGTACAGGGTGGGTTAAAAGTGGGATAACAGGTATCTATGGTTATTAATTTTATATCTGATGACCTATTTTTGGTCCATCCTATATATATATACAGGGAGTCCTCGGGTTACGACAGTCGCGACTTACGATGTTTCGAGGTTACAAACGCGCACTCCATAACGCTGTTTCGAGGTTACGAACGCACTTTACGAACATATACAGATATATAAGATAATACTGTACTGTAATAAATAAGCCTATAAACTGGATTATTGTGATCAAGAAAATCAGTGCTCTGGGCTCATTGGTTTTCGTTATTTACATCGTAAATGACGTGACCAATTGCGAACTATTACGATTATGAACGAATAATCACTGAGCTTCAGTCACATGGTACAGTACAGTACTGTACACAGTTCTAGTGATACAGTACGGGTTACACCGAGTCTCAGGAACGGAACTGCGTCGGAAGTCGAGGACTCCCTGTATTATATCATTAAGCGAGGCCGAAAAGATAAAAAAAATAGTTCTCCAACCCCCAGTAAATAGTTCTCCTATTCTATAACTGCTGATTGTTCCGAGGATACTCCCAAAATATGTGAACCAAGATGGCGGACACCGGAACGTAGTATGTGTACCAGGTTATGGTTAGGCCATAATTTCAGGTACAAATACTACGGGAGTCACTAGTCCCCGAACTCGTAATAGAACTAAAATAAGGGAAAATTGAATAAAATTATGCCCTAACGTCGCCTACCTCTAACCTGGTACATATACTGTGTTTCGGTGTCCGCCATCTTGGTTCACATACTACGGGAGCGCCGTTCAGAGTACCGTTTTGTCTAACTTCACCTTTATCAACACTGCAGTCTTTGGATAAAACCCGCTATCATGGTGAGTACCCACGCGACTGTCAGTAGAGCAATGATAAGATCCTTTCTAAAAACAATATGGTGACTGGGTACACATATAGTTACTTCTAATGTAAACAACAACAAGCGAAATGAACCTGATGTAATCTCCGACATTATTCTACGCAGATCATTGGATTTATCGTTTTACTCTCGGGAACTTCGCTCTACGTCATCCCGTTTCACCATGTTGTCCGCAAATATGAACAACTTTGAGTCGACCAATGAGAAGATAAGAATTTGGCGTCTGTGAATAAGCTCTTTCGTTTTATATAGGCAGTATCGCATTGGCAGTTGCCTGCAAACTAAGCGTTGGAAAGAACAAGCTTCTCACAACAAGACTGCGGAGGTTTAAGCCAGCATGGTTCGACCTGAGCTGCGCTAGTCTGGAATATTTGTATCATAGAACAATTTCACTAATTATGATGTAACACAGCAAAAGTGGATATAAACACGGTTGCCAGTTTTGGCCACATATTGAAAAGGTGATTTTGCTGATTATTAGCTCTTACAAAATCTATAAATAAAATAATAAATATTATTCTGTAATATCCTGCTTTAGTCAGTCTACAAATTTAAGCAGGCATACGCCATAACACATACATCAATGTATTTGGTTTTTATTTGTGATTAATCCAATATTTTCTTGGTAACGATGCCAGTATCATCTGAGCTGGCAGAGGTACATTTGTTAGAACTAGGCGGGCGTTTGTCGAGATTTTTTTCCGGGCTTATGATTTATCAGAAGTAATATGGGTTAAGAAAGCCAAAACTTTGTTAGCTACAGTTATGTATTTATTCGCGATGAGAATTTCTTCAAATGTGGCACAAGGAAATATTTGGCTTCAGGCTTCAAGTATCGCGAGTCAAAAAAGAACTTTGAGTGAAGTTTTATTCTACTATTTTGGACCGAGAAGGTAATTCATTTTATATCCTTTTATACCTATTATAAGGATCGGTCACTATCAATAATGAACGAAAATTGAACAATGCTGATTAACGGTAGTAGGCCTGCTACATTATTTGTTTCTGATTCTTGAGCGAGGCTGCTGTGAAATGTGTCAAAGCAGATCGGGCCGATAAACACAACATTTAGAACAATTTACTGATTCGTTTATTTCATTCCTGGTTCGGACATGGTCATATCGCCCCAGATCATGTCAGTATCCAAAATGGGACAAGTAGCAAACTTCTGTATTTCTAATACACTAGTTTTTCGTGAATGGATCGATCATGCTTTTTGCGCAGCGACGTAGTTTACAAGATAGAATGTATGGGTCGTCAAATTTCAAATGGTTTAACACAGGAAGTCTTTCTACCGCTTATAATTTCCTGGTGTCATATGCTATAATGCACTCTAAGAAAATACTTGGCAATTAAGTGCAGCCGTACGGTTTCAAAAAATATATGGTCGACAAATCTATATAACCTGATCCTCAGAACACAGAAGATCCAAAATCAAAGAACTTTTTTGTTTTGAACTCACTGGCAACAGATTTCTGCATTTTAGTATGTATTCACATGGCAGAATGACATGAAGGTCGGAAATTAAGTTTTTAGAACACTGTTATCATTTGGTGAGTTTCCAGCAAATTTAAGATCAGAATTCTGCAACCGCACCACTGCAGTAATCTGCGACAAATCTATTATAAGGCTATCGCAAGCATCACGATAGAGAGTGTAAGTGTTTTCAAATTTCAAATGGTTTAAATGGAGTCTTTTTATTGCTTATAATATCCGGGTGTCATATACCGTGATGAACTCTAAGAAATTACCTGGCAATTAAGTTAATAATTTACCTGGCAATTAAGTGATTGTTACCAGCAAATTCAAGATAATACCAGCGTCGTTGCAGTAATCCGCGACAAATCTATTATATGTCTAATGCAAACGTTACGAAATCGGGTGTATGTATGTGTCGTCAAATTTCAATTGGTCTAAATCAGGAAGTCTTTATATTGCTCACGATTTTCTGGTGTTAATTTCCTGCTGTATAATTTCCTACTGTAATAACTCTAAGAAATTGCTTGGCAATTATGTGCAGTCGTACGGTTTCACGAAAAAGATTGTCGCCAAGTCTATAAAACTCAACCCTCAGAAAATTCAAAATCTCTCTTTTGTATCGAACTCACTAGCAACAGGTTCCTACATTTCAGTTACATTCTGCATTAGCATGACAGCGTTACAAAAATCTAATACACAACTTCCAAAACCCCAAATATAACTCTAGTTGTCAGCCCTAACCCTGAAGTCTAAAACAAAAAACATGAACAGATTTGCTGATTATCATGACATTTCAAAAACGCGTTTGTACTAATGGTTCAGTTCAGTTATATATTTTTTGCATTAGTACAATGAAAATCTAACGGTTTTGATAATAGGAAATTAGAGATAGCATATATGAGGCATCAAGAATTGACTAGAATTTCATAAAGCTGGGAAATTTTATGAAGACGATAATTTATTATTATTATTAGCAGTAGTATAGTAGTGGAATAGTTTCATTAGTCTAGCGCCAGTAAAGACGTATATTATTGGATTCTGCGACAGTTCTTCACCCCGAATACGATGCACAAGTTCTTTGTGACAAATAATTTTACACGCAAACAAGAACAGACTCTCAAGAAAACTTAACAAGGAATGAATACAATTAGAACAATGCGTTTGAAGAGCGCGACAGAAAAAAAGGTTACACGCAGGAGCGAGCTGATTAAAGTGTTTGCATGTATGATACACAAGTAAAACAATAATAAACTGGCGTAGGAACAAACATATAAACATATGGATCACTACAGGGAAATATTAACGGCATATATAATAGGAGGATAATAGAGATAACATATATTTTACTACAAGATTTTTGAACCCTGGAATTCCATAGTCTAGTACAGGGATGTACAACAGTTGGCACGAGGGCCACGACCCGGCCCGCCAAGTCATTTAGTATTGCCCTTGTCAACACCATCAAGCATAAAATCCCGAATTGAGAGTTTATGTTTAAAAGGTCCTTTTGTGATAGTCCCCCTATTACTATGAGGCCAAACGCCGTATTCTCAACTCTGCCTTCCCTGCTAAATCCTTAGATATCTGAATTTGGTTATATGGCCCCCCGACAAAAAATGTTGCACGCCTCTGCTTTAGTACACTTAATTTTTTATATTATTAGTTGAAGTTTCATTGGGTTAGTTACAGATATATTGCGTTTTACAATGAAAAATTGTACGGATAATTTAATAAAATATTAGAGATGAGACAACTTGACTAGGTTTTTACCCCACCAAAAAAACACCCCCACCAAAGCTCAAAGGGTTAAGGTAACTCGAAATAGGAGAAAATTAGTAATTATTCACCTAGGGTTGGAGGAATGTAGACTGCGCTGGAAATCCAAATTTCCAAATCATTCCTAACCACAACTGGAAAATTAATAATTGGCTTGGCGGGGTTGTTTTCCACACATTTTTGCATTAGTGGCGGTTACTTTGTACAAAAGATCTTAATGCCGAACCGCGAAGGTAATTAAAAAATTGATACAATGAATAATCAACGGGATATACATTATGATTTTCGAAATGGAATATACAAATAATACAAGAATTGATGAGATTTCATTTAAAAGTTCTATGAGTTGAGAACGTTTAGGGCTTTCACTACCATCAAGACCATGCATCTGGAACAAATAAATGGCTAACTAATCCTATACCCGACTTGGACTTGTAACAGGACGAGAGGCCGTGGTTTGTCTTAGCGGTTTTCCTCTCTCAAGAGATAAGTTGAAATCCTATCTTACGGCATTGTTTTATTGGATTGATTGCAAGGAAACATACTGTCGCGATGGCCTAGTTTTTAAAACGTCAGAAGACATTAAGGTGTAGGCATCGCAGGTTAAAATACTGGACTCGCATTCCATGCTATGATCTCGTTCAGTATGCAATAAATCAAAAGGATTCGCTTTCTAACTTTAGTGACTTGTTGTGATTGCCGTGCTTGCTTGTACAGAGCCTTGTTCGCAGCAAAATTCATATAGTACGTTGTATAGATAAATTGTTTCAAGTTGGGAATTTCATAGAGTCAAGTACGTTCAAGTTTCATATTATTAGTATTGGTATCAGTGGGTGGTAGTATTGGTATCTAGGGTGTGGCAGCCATGGCTCGTGCCATCGGCGCCGTTTGGATAGAGGCGCAATATTCGCGGAAAGTTTCAATCGTAAATTGTTTCGATAAAATAACTGAAAATCGTATTTTTACAAAAACAATAACATACTAAAATCTCAATTCAACAACAATTGCTCAACGATCGAGTAGGAGCATTTTTAAACTTTTCCACGGGCGCAATTTTACGTAGATACGCCACTGAGTGGTAGGATGATTTTAATAGTTCAGTTGTGAACATAGTGCATCGATACAATGAAAAACGACAGATTACATAATAGGATATTAGAGATAATATATATGATAGGAAACATGAACTGACGGGTTTTTACGGTACTCCCGAAGTATGTGAACCAAGATGGCGGGCACGAGAACCTAGTATGTGTACCAGGTTAGGGTTGGGTACAAATACTACGGGAGTCACTTGGCTAGTCCCCGAACTCGTAATAAAACTAAAATAAGGAAAATTGGAATAAAATTATGGCCTAACCTTAACTTGGTACAGATACTACATCTTGGTGTCCGCATCTTGGTTCACATACTTCGGGAGTACAGTTTTTACTTACTTTAAGATACGTTTCTTAAAGTCGTGTTCGTTCAATTTTGGAGCATCATCGATAGTAGTGATTAGTGGTGTAATTAATGGTTCAATTGTGAACATTTTTGTATTGGTACGCTGAAAAACGGTTTTCATAATAGGACATTAGAGATGTCATATATGATACAAAACAAGAAATGACGGGTTCTCATTCAAATTTTATGAAGTCGTGTTCGTTTATTTGAAATTTTTGGCTTCCTCAACTTTGCTTAATTAGCGCTCACTTATTCTTGTAAACTAACGTCAACCATTCCTACATCGGAAGAGCCTTGGTTGGAATTTTCAGAGAAAGCGATGACTTTTATCGGAGCTGCATCCATGGTTGATGTTAACACTTCAGCAGGGTTTTCCATCATTTCAACTTCTCCACTTTGCCCGTCTGGTTTTGCGCTTTCTTGTTGACTTAGTGTTGTCAGAGAAGCCGAACGCCTAGACCTCATCCTTTAAAGATAATGATAATATTGTTTGAGCATGGAGTTGTCCTAAATAATACTTTTGCTGTTTTGCATGGCATTGTTGAGATTATAGCTAGTAGCATAGCGTGAAGTCTACCACACTGTGTGAGATCGACTTAAAGCTAGTACTATAGGCTACAGCGTGCCACATACCAGATTAAGATATACCTCAATTTAGTACTATAGGTATGTCGCTGCATTTTGCATTCTTTATGAATATACACATATGTACATATTCTCTGAGAAAGCTGAAATTAAAAAAGGATAAATCATTGGTTCTCAACCTTTTATGACTCGTATTTCGGAGGCTTCTATCACTCATGACCTAAGCCAGCTAGAACTAGGTAATCATGCATGGTTAGCTATTGGGTTTCAGACAGCATGTAGTTTTCCGCTTTTCATGACTAGCGCCCTGGAGTCGTGGTTTGGAATCATTTTATTAACATTGGCGTCGGGGCTGAAGCTGTATTTTCACACTTGTGAGAGCCCAAATATCGGATCTACGTAAAAAACACCTATGCCAAGTTTCAAAATGATAAATTAGTAATTATCTATTGAACGCAAATATGAAATATGTTAAAATCTCGGGTTCAAATCCCATTCCCACACCTCACTCTAGGCAAACTTTAGCAGCTCATCGCCTAACAGTGCGTGCTTGTGCAGGGCATTATTCAGAGCAAAATGCAGTTACATACTTCGTATAAAAAATATTCCAAATATTGGGTGCATCCTCACCCCTGATCCACAACTCATATACAAAAGCTATACCGGGGAAGTCTACAAAATCGAATACTACAAGTCCAAACTTACTTGCAATACATAAAAATTATCGCTACTATGGCGATGATCAATAGAGCACCGACGACAGCTACGATAATTGCGAAGTTCGTCATTGATATTGCTGATTTGATTCCTCCGGCTGTCGCTTTGCTAGATTGTGGCGTGGCTGTGAATGAAGGAAATAGGTTTATATTACACACGAAAGAAATAGTGGGAACGAATGCCACTGCTCTACCACTTTCTCTGGGGGAATGGGACAATAATTAAAACTGTTTCAATATTATAAACTCAGCTGAAATTATTTTCATGCTCTAAGCCAACCCTCTTTGGTGGTTTGCCGATTCTAGAGGTTTGGCGGGGTGTGATGTCATGCATCCTGTTTGCTACACAAACGCGAAGGGTCGAGTCGATTAATTTTGTAGAACCCGTGAAAATTACCTCACACAATGAGTTAATAAATTTTGGCAAGCGATGCTTAACTAGAAATATTCTGTTCTATACCGACATGGCAGCTTTGTGTATATCGTATGCTGTGTATTGTATACTTGGTACAGAACTGTGTGTGCATAGAAATTCGTGAATATAGTATAAAAAATTAAAACTTACTTGTGTTCTGTACAACGTCTCCCTGCTCCGTTGTCAGATTTGTTTCAATGACTGTTGTCGAAACTCGATTGACAACCACAGATGTCATGTATCTGATCTCCTGATCCGTCGTGTTCCCCCCCTTTGCCGGCGCTGTGTACATTTGAAATGTTGCATTTTGTTGTGAGGTTGTGACTGCTTCTTGGGTACTGTTAGTTTTTTTAGGTTCCGTTGTTGCTGTGATGTTAACAAAAAATATTGGTCAAATATATGTGAACCGAAGATGGCCAATGAGGACTAATGGGAGCTCCCGAAGTATGTGCGCCGACTAATGCTGTTCGTTGTTCAATGGCTTGCTGGTTTCAATAGTCTTGAAACAAGGGCTGTGGTGTCGTAGTTTGGTACGTTTTCACACTGACTGGAACCGGGAGTTTGGGTCGACATTCTGAATTTCAAGAGTTCAGAGTCGGTAATTCAGACTTAGGAATTCAAATTTTTGTGTCGAACTCTGTCGAAAAGCATTAAGTTTACTGAGCGTTCCTGACAGACGAATATTTTTCGATATTAAGACTTGATATCCATCAAGCAAGTGTGGGAGTCGGAGTTTTCCCACAACCCGGAGTGGGAGACAGAATTTTACTTTACAACTCACAACTTTTGTTGAAATGATATTATTTGGCCCTACCGTATCACCAATATTTTCAGAACGATTTATGAGCCTGCTATGTGACCATGGCTGTTATTTTTAAAATTTACTCACTACTACATTTATATGCTGTCGAGAAATGATTTCCTTTTGGGAAGCGTGGGAGATTGAGTCGACTAAAGCGATAAATAGCGTTTCGACTGCGAGTCATGGTGCATCAGTTCTTGAAGTATAGAACCGGAAGTCGTATTTTCAAATTGAAGTCAGAGTCATAATTATAAACTCCTTGGCACCGCATTCAATAAAGCAATACAGAATCTAATTTTTTTCTTCTTATAAGTCATTTTGCGAAGACTTTCTCGACTCCAGTGATACCCAATTTTTTATCAAGCGACCTGAAATTTTGTAACATTCCACTTTTGGCCATACGACCATAGGTTGAGAAAACGGCTCTAATTCATATAATCACCAGTACCGACTGTGGATTGGTATTGTGAGCCCGATTATGGCTACATTAAATTAGACTTCCATTGCTGCAAAATTACCAAATTTATTACAACGATCACTTTTGCATATGCATGCAAGTTTTTTTTCTTAATTCTCTTGCTATTACTTTCAAATGACTGAAATTCTGACCCCCTGGTCTGAAAAGTTGAGAATTATGACTCTTTGGTGATTTAAAAGGTCAATACGGGTAAGATTCAGACACCAATTTCACAACATATATCCAAATAGCTTAGACGAGAATGCCACTGCCGAACGGTTAAAGTGTGTGTAATAATGAGGTAATACCAAACCGAAAAGCTTCCGTTCCTTCCAAAATAGTGCATTACTCATTACAAATCGTTCGTCATCAATTTCTTAAACGGGCATTATTTGAAGCGTGAAAAATTCTTGTTTATAAAAAAGGCTTTTACTTACATGCAGCACAAGAAATGAAATTGTAGTCAATATTGAAAGTTTTCTTCGTGCCCCAGACTTCTGAAGCCTCAAACTTGATTGATCTCGGGAGTTTATCAGAAAAGAAAAAGGCATTCTGCTCGCATCTTCCAGTCGCCGCAAGATTGTAACGTAATGCATAAAAATCGCACTTGGAAGAGACTTTTGTGTAGATTATGCAAGGAAACGGTGGATTGCATGTTGGCGCAAGTTCTAAAATACAAACAAATCGCTTCAGACATTAGGCTCAGTCGATGTGGATAAGTCGACTAAATTGTAAATCAAGTCAAGTTTATTGTTTCCAACCAGTAAACAAAATTGATTTCTGGTGGTATCAGAGTCGTCAATTGGACAAATTCGGCTTACACAAACCAGCATTGGTTCCATGTGGTTACTGTTTCAATACATTGTTCGTTTAAAGTGTATTTTCAACACGTTAACACAGGCAACACGTTATATGGTAAGTTAGTTGTTTAGTTTCATGATTCGAATTAAAATAGTCAATTATTTCACTCTTACTCGACCTTTAGTAAATTATTTATTTTCGTTTATAAGAACATCATCATCCGAAACTCACCCCGGGAAGCAGACCAGTTTGATACGCCTCTGAGTGATGATGAAAAAATACTGATTACGGAAGGACTACTTACCAGGCAACGATAAGTGACCATAGCATTCTCCGGTTGTTGGAATAAGGGAAACATTTGACAGTTTCAGTACTAAAATATCACTGTTGCCAGATTCATTACTGAACAACCAGCGCCGATCCTCCGCAAACCATTCAGTGTATGAAATGACACCGCTTAACTCCTTCAAGGATATGTCTTCCACTGTAGCAATGGTGTTGCCGATAAAAATACCTAAAAAAATGTGATGTAATGCAAGGGTGTGCACCTTTAATACAGGAGGGCCACATACAAATAACTGGGTGAAACGACGGGCCGCACCGTATTTAAAATAGACTTTGTAGTAGTTGCCGGCACAAAAATGTTGGGTATTGATCCTAAGACATGCGTTGTTCACTTTGCACAAGCTAGCTATTAGGGTATTGTAACGTCATTAGCATAGATAAAAAAAAATTAAACTCGGGTATATGCATTGTAGCGCGAAGGTGCTGGAATTGCTCGCACGTTCCAGATTAAGTTAAATCAAAAACTTGCCTCACGGGCCGCACACTATTCAAATTTGGCACTTCCCTGTAGGCCGAATTTGGCCCACAGGTTGCACACTCCTGATTTAATGTGAAGAGTGATTTAATTGGCAAAAACATTTCTATTTTTTTGATTCAAAACGTACTTTCAAAAACGCCGACTTCAACCATTTATAATTACTGCAAATTTGAAATCGTTTAGATTATAAGTTGCGTAGAAAGGATTTTTTCTTAACAGCAACATTAATGATTTAGAAAAACGATTAATATGTAGTAAACTTCTTTCTTATAGAGAATAAAGTTAGTTGGATCATTGTGGTTTTATATTTCAAGTCGAGCGAACAGAGTCACCCCCTCGTCCAGAAAGTCATGAATTGGTCATAATTTATATTTATACTATATAAATAGCAATTTATACATCATCTAGTGCCGCGCTACAACTATGTCATCTTACCATTTTAGGTCACGTATTTAATAATGATTACAAAGAACTGCATTTACCTTGTATAAATCCACAAAGGAGACAAGCCTGCCATAGCCTTTTCATGATAAGAATTTGGGAGTAAGAATTACAAGTGCTGAAGATCTAATTTGTTCTAAAAAAATATATGTAATTATCAGATATGTGGTATGTCAGCATGTTATTCATGTTTATTCACTTTAATTTTTTCTGAAACCATAATTTAAATTTATTTGGTATGTAACACTGAACTGGAAGGCTTTCGGTCCTTCCAGCTTGTACAGAACCTTGTTCAGGGAGGAAGTGAATGCAAAATGTGAGATTTGAGAAAAACACCTCCGCCAGGTTTTAAAACAACAAATTAGTTGGGGTTAGGAATGATTTAAAAATTTAAATTTACGGCGCAATCTGAATTCCTAACCCTAATCCTAACTCGATAATTATCAATTTTCTTATTTTGAGCTTTGACGGGTGCTTTATAAAAATGATCCAGGAATTTCATATTAATCGTTTTAAAAATGTTAGCTTCGAAACCCATACCTCACATTTCACTCAGGGGTCGTAATAAATTTTGTGGAACTAGTATTTTACCGTCCTTCAAAACTTAGCTCTTCGCATATCAGTGACTACGGGGACAGCACATTTGAACCCATACATTTGCATACATCCGCGGGTTCACTCCATATACTGGTGCTAAAATCATGGGTTAGGGTTAGTATGGGTTTAAATATCCGTAATTGCAAATTTCCAAAGGTGCTATAGTATGCAGGTGTAATTGTCGTGGGTTCAAATGTACGTGGGTTCAATGGAACCGTGACTACTTGTGCAAATCCTTGTTCGGGGTGACAGACACAAGAAAAAAACTTTGTAATAAAAAAAAAATGCTTTGAAATATAGGCATCTGGCTCTTAACATTAATACATCTTCCTATATTCATAATTATAATTTTAGTAATATGATCCGCGTAAAATTCGCAATGATTTCCGTGACGCTTTAATTGCCTTTCTACGATATCTGATTAAAAGTAGTTGGATAATACAAATGGAATAATTTGTATGCGATGGCGCAGTTCTTGCAATATCGTGATAATTAACAAACCCTACTCATAATTCAATAGTCTGTGTACCTAAACCGGTGGAATGCAACCTGCGGCCCGCGGCCCTTGAAGAAAATTGTGCGGCCCGCGGAGAAGGGTCAACTTCGAATGGTGTGCGGACAGCGGAACAATTTTTTAATTTAGATTAGTCTGGTACGCGCGAGTAATTCTAATTCCGTACAATGCCCTAACAGCTAGTTTGTGCGAAGCGAATAATGAATGCATGTCATATGAGTAATAACTAAGATTTTGGTGCCTGCTACTACCAGAAAGATTATGCTAAATAAAAGCGCGGCCCGCGGTTTCACCCAGGAATTTGTTACTGGCCATTCTGTATTAAGTTTCGACACCCCTGTTGTAAACTGCCACGTCCGGAGAATTCTGATTTCGGCCAGACAAAAGTTGCATAAATACGTTAGTGCAACAGGGATCTTAAATCAAATGGTAAAGTCAACTTTGTTCCTGCCACAGCATCCATGCGTTATAGGCATACGGATGCACTAGCGCAACGATATTGCCAAAGGTTCTTGTACTTTTTCAGTCATTATACGACGCAGCAAATGGGTAAAGCGCCCACCGCTAACGACTAGCACTATATTTGACGTGCTGAAAGTCATTTCTCTAGATTTGTATGAAATTAACCTTTGACATAACTAAATTTTCTGAAATAACGGAACCAGTTGGTATTAAGCTATATGTAATTAAAATTTCAATATTTTGTATTAAACCCTTATTATTATCTTCTCGAACTATCCACAACCGTACCTCTTTCTACACTGCGTATAATTATAATATTATTCGCCTCACTTTGCAACTTGATCCGCATCTAAAGGCAATGACTTCCGTATTGCTATTATTGTTTTTTCAAATGAATGACTCGAGACACTTTACTCTACTTGATCACTTTTAGCCATGTATCTGAATACAAAAAATAACTGGCTAACTAATCCCATACCCAACATGTACTAGTAATCGGACGAAAGGCCGTGATTTTTCATATGATTGAGCCGTCATATGTTGTTTGAGAGAAATCTCTGTTGGTTTTATTTGGCCACATTCGACCGCATCGATCACGTCTATCATATTATGAAGCCTTATACTTTAGAGTGGGTTGTTCCCGCTTATTCTTCAACCGTTGACTCATTAATAACTTTCGATCAACTTTTTGTTGAGCTTATTTTAAAACAACCTTATTAAAATACTCAAAATAACACGGGAGCCGACGCGAATTTTTTCTTTCTACAAGTCAACCCAATATTATATTCGGAACGATGCTAAAACTTTGAAATAGGTATCAGGGTACCGGTAAGCCCCGTAGTTATACCAGCGTTATACTTGGCGTTTTAAAAGTTATGTGTTTAATTCAAAAAATGCGCGTCATGTTAATGTAGCTTATATGTAGTGACATACACACATTTTTTGGAAAGGGAACCCGTTCTTAGTGAGTTCGATACAAAAGAGAACCCTTTCCTAAAATTTCGAGTATCACCAATGGTGAGGCGTATATCTCGGCTTCTCTTTACATGGATTATTTTACTGCTCATTATCACACTTTTCTTTCTAAACAATTATGAAAATTCAATTAATAAAGCTCATATGCAAGCAATATTTTATTTGCAATACTCAATGAAACTCTACGACTGCAATGAAATAACAAAGCATAAATAACATCGAACTTTCCATTAAAACCTTTTGGAAATAAAATCTTCACTTTGCCAATAAATAAGATTGAAAATAAGCTAAATACATTTAAATGATAGAAATAATACAAAAAAAGAATGGATGTTTCCCCGAACATCGTTCCTTGTTTATTTCCGTAACAATGACCAATCGGCAAAAAGGCAACGGTGACGTAACAATTGCCATTTTTGCAGTCGCCCGGACAGAAATTCTTCCATGGTTGTAAACATTGTCCCGTTTTTGCGGTTTTGGTGTTATTTGTCAGTTTTCAAGTGTATTTTCATGAATTAATTTTAAATGAAGTAATTTATTTGTCATTACGTATTCCGATGAGCTTTAGTTTAGTTGCAATAATCAAAAATTAGTCCCGAATAATATGCGATAGACTAGGCTAAAGTTAGCTATCAGAGCCTGTGAGCACGTGGTTATATTTTTTCATAAAGTAAAAAGTTTTGAGCATGTGAATCAGTATGTGAGCTCCCAGTATCGAAAACACTCGCAAAATAACAATTGAAGTTATGGGGAAAAGTTCTGGCGTCAGAGGTCGGGGAAACATTCATACTTTTGTTTTATGTAGTAATAGCTCAATTACGTCGATGTGAACATTGTCAATCCATTTTCAAATTCTGGATCAGTCAGTACAGTAGTTTATTTTTACACATGCTTAAATTACACATTGTACATACAGAATATGAGAGGGAAAAAAATGTTTTTCAGCGTGAAGGAAGACGCCATAAACTAGATGCTTATCGAGAATCGTCACATGTGATGGAGCGAGTCTAACACTAAATTATACTTAGGATAAAAATCGAACATAGAATACAAACAAAAGCCGGACTTGAGATACATTTAAGCAACCCGATATCCCATTGTCGCTTGTTACAATGGAAGCAAACGACATAGGACACGACTGGCGGGGTAACCATGGCAACTTTCAACATAATTTTGGTTTAACGCAAGATGCATCTTATTGTCAAGATGACACTTAATTATTTATTTCGCCTTGTTTATAGAATTTATATGGCTTGGGATCGACATGTGACTGGACTTCAGCGATATGACTTGTGACTCGAGTGGGTCGTGACTTGTCTTGACTCGAAAATCAAGAACCAGTGCCCGAAATTTGTATTCAGCCAAAATACACAAAATATTACAATGCATAGACTTAGAAATGAAAACTCGTTTGTCAGAAATAGAAATAAAGTATTTTCTGTGTTTTAAAGCGCAATAAAAACAATAGTCTTAAATGATAGTAAAAAGAAAATAAGCAGAGTGAAATATACATCGACGATTATGTTTATAACTGACATATAAAAAAAATTCATTAAAACAAGATGATGGTCTCTACACATAATACGAAAACGAATTAATGATTCGGCATAGGATGGGGGTTCGTCAAAACTAAAATTTACAAATAGGGGTCCGCGGCCCAAAAAGTTTGGGAAAACCTGTCATAGGGCACATATAAACCGATTCTTTAATAGCACATTCAGCTCTTTCCCCTGTACACATATACAGAGACTGGTAAATTGATGCGTATTCGAAAATTAATTCCAAATAGGATATTGTTTGAATAAACACGAATTCATAATGTTGCTCGCTATTCAAGCTCATTACGTATGAGCATCGGTCGCCTTCTGTGGCGTCATAATAAAGATGGAACACATAAGGGTAAGCTGATTTATATACAACTCAAACTAAATTCAAATACATAAATGATGAAATCTGGGTTTTTCTACTGACTAACCATTCTCACAGCATTACCTATTGCTTGTTTCGGAGAGAAGCACAAAAAAACAATGGCGCTCTAGAAGTATGTGTACCAATATGGGAGGTAACTAATTTTGTTCGCCTACTTTACGTCAAGTTGTGTAAAAGGACTAAAACCTATGGGCAGGGGGTATATTCCATTGGCTAACATAGACAGTCCCAAACTCGTAATAGAACTATAATGAGGAAAATCGGAATAAAATTATGGCCTAACCTTAACCTGGTACACATACTACGGGAGTACCAAAACAATGGCATACACTGGTAGAACTCTGTTTAGACTGTGGAATGAACACATTAGTGGCTATATTGCCTATGAAATCTTTATTACGTCTTTTTCAATACACGAGATAAAATAAAAAGATTTGTTTGGGATTACTGAGTAAACAACCAGGGCTGGGCATTTTTGAATACCTGATGATTTCAAAATCAAATCTCGAATACTTCGATGATATTAAAATTAATACAGCGACGTAATGGTATGTGACTTTTCATTGTAATGGGGCCACCAGACACATAAATTACTGTAAATATATTGGTTTATCAGTCAGTGTTCACCCACAATAAGAAACTTATGTTTCATCAATACCTCACTGAGAAAAAAGGCAGCATTGTTATTTAAAAATGCAAGAGGTGCAAGTATGGACATGTTTCGAACTGGCCGCAGAGAGAATTAAAAGAAAAACAGCGACCGAAACGTCACGGCGGGAAATGGTTTTAACAAAAAAAATTAAGGATTCACCTCGATCTTTGGTGAACAAAAAAAAGAAGGCGGCGATTCGAAATTGTCGTCTTAAATAATCGATTCGAATATTTTATTATTCGATTTAAAATGCCCAGCCCTACTTCACGGTTAACCCTTTGACTTGTTGACCACAGCATACACTGCGGTGGGATCGGGCGTGAATTGACTCGCTTGTTGACTTTGCTGAAAATCACCTTCACCGTAGAAGTCGTTCACAACCATGACTGCATCAGGAGAGCTGCTCTGCTGCGTTTTATCCGTCAGTTTGTTCTTCAGTGCCTTCAGCCTAAGATACAATTCAGTGACTTTTTATTGACTTTTAACTGTGTGGCATGGTTAACTAATCAGTGTTGGGGAGGTCGAGCCGCTCGACGAAAAATCGAAGTAACTAGAGCCATGTAAATCAGTGATTCCCCAACCGCGGCCCGCGGGCCAATTAGGAGGCATGACCCGCCGAACTTGAATGAAATAGTTTGACACTTTATGTTTTATTTTCATTTTTCGTTCCACATACCGCCAATTGTTACGTCATCACAGTTTGAGCATGTGTATATTCGTAACAATTTAGTTCGGTATTATACGTACCAGTGCCGGGCCCCTTGCGGGCGCTCCACCTACTTGCCCATGAATATCCTTTCGCTTTTAATTTTGGTCCCCGGCCAATCAACTATGGGAACCTCTTGATTCTGAATGAAATGACTTGTATTTGTCAACAACTGACCGATTAACTTACTGCTTGACTCGAACCTCTTAGAACCAGGGATTCCAACTTACTCGCGAAATGACATATTACTTAATTCCAACAGCTACAGCAAGAACTATGCTAAGTCCTCACGTTAAGAGCGTTTATTCACACACGCGAAGCAGCGCTTGGTACGCTTATGGCATGATAACAGTCTGTGATACCCGTCAGTTTCATATACATCATGCAAATAGTGAATATGGGAGAGCTGACTCGGATGACAGTATGGTCGTATCGCTCTACCCAGTCTAAACCAAATAACTTTGCTTATTTGCGTATTTTTTATCATTTTTGCAATGCTTGTTCTTCTGGTTTACGAAAATTAAATCTCTCTCCAAGATGTGGTACGTCACATCAATTAAGAGTTGTCGCGCTACTCAACATTAGAGTAATAACATTAGTCACAAATATGTCAAAATGCCTTATAAAAATCAAACTTCTCTCTTTGGTAAAAGATTACAACTTTTGTTAGAAAGTGCAATTTTTCGTTGAATAGAGACGAATTTATATTAAAATTAACTGAAAGGCTACAATATGCCTTATTGGGACCGAATTTTCTACCGGATATAAATTCAATAGCTAAACACAGTTTCTCTGTGACGTATGGCGTGACGCACTTCTTTCGCTATAAAAATTTGACTGCGGCCATTGTTCTATTTCGTTTCATACACATGCCGAATTTTAATACAACTCTGAATACTGCAAACAACATTGAGCAATTTAACTGTCTTTTTAAAGATGAAATCAATTTTGAAGAAAACGATACCTATTTCACGCGCCCATTCTCAACTCCAGTTTTAACAAGAATTTACAGCAGCAATCAGTTAAGTTAAGTCTACTTTACTATTTGATTGATAATTTCAGTCACCCCCAAATTTTTGATAATCATAATTTTAGATTCAAAATCTTCTTTTGATTGGATAACTCTAATTGAAACGGTATTGCGAGGCCATCTCCTAACGGCCTATTAATGGGGAACATAGACGGGCGTCTATTTTGTATATAACCACACAATTCTGGTTTCAAAGTTGTGCGGAGAAATTAGGGAACGATAAATGAGGCGACTTATGCGGTCGTCTCTTTTTTTCACTCCTACATATTGTTCAGCAGATAATAGGGTATTTTAGGCTTGACTTTGTTTTCATACAAAGTCTTTTTTATTATTCATCTTGGGGTTATAACAAGTGGAGTTTGCAGCCTTGAGCATAGATTTCTAAGAGTCTTCTTATAGCCTTTTCTATGCGGAGATTTCTTTTTTCACTCATACATAACCCTGGTTTTAAAGTGGTGTACGTCCCTCTGGGGTCTATTATTGATGACTTTGGTGGCCGTCTCCTTTACTCATTAATACGCAGAGCTGGGTTTAACAGCGGTGCGGTCTTGCCAATTAATTTAGAACTCATGCATTAGATACATGGTTCTCTGGTGGCCAATATGGTAACTTACAGAAATTGGGCAATCGTCGCTTTTGCTAACTAATCCAAAACTCAAGTTAGACAATGATGAGGGTATAATGAACACTATAATAATAATAAAACTCTAGGTTAAGCAATGGGCACAGTCGAGTGTTTATAAATGAAACACCGAGGCCCATGTGTGACGTCATAAAACATGGTGCAAGTACATTTGGAGAAAAATAGACATTGAACCAGTGTTTGCCTCTATCGCACGTTATTTGGTACTCCTGAAGTATGCGTACCAAGATGGCGGACATCAGAACGTAGTATGTGTACCAGGTTAGGGTTAGGTCATAATTTTATTTCAATTTTTATTATTTTAGTTCTATTACGAGTTCGGGGACTAGCCAAGTGATTCCCGTAGTATTTGTATCTAAAATTATAACCTAACCTGGTACACATACTCCGTTCCGGTGTCCGCAATCTTGGTACGCATACTTCAGGAGAACCCATTAATTTATTACATTCACTTACTTTTGAGCCATAACGGTAATAATAATCAGTGTGACGATCAGTGATGTTCCAAGAATCGCGACCAGAATGACGAGAGATGTGTTGTTTGATGGTTTTTCTGTTTCTTCGTGAGGCTTAGCGTTCGGACATTGAGTGGCTGAAATGGATAATATATTAAGTGATATTTTGTATCCAGGGAGAGACTCATAACAGGTTTGATGTGTGTGTTTTTATTGTCGAATTTCAAAGTTCTTCAATAGTCCTGTTGCACACTAACACAGATGAGAAATGCATTTTTTTTAGTGTGCAGCAGGACGCTTGAATTGGATAGAATAGTCGGTACTCCAGAAGTTTGTGTACCAGGTTAGGGCTGATCCGTAAATTTATTCCAATTTTTCTCATTTTAGTTCTGTTACGAGTTTGGGGACTAGCCAAGTGACTTGGCAGGTAGTACTTGTACCTGGAATTATAGTCTAACCTCAGCCTTGCACCAACGCTTCAATCACCGTTATCCAAGAAAACAGAATTTTGATTCTAAGATTATAAAAATACATACTACGTTCCGGTGTCCGCCATTTTAGTTCACATATTTCGGGAGTACCCAAAATTGTACATGTCTGTATCAGATTATGAATTTGATTTCGAGTTCTGGCATTTGAAATTTTGAGAATTGGCAGTCTACAACTCACCTTCATTTTTCGTTTCTTCATCATCAAAAGTGTCGTCGTCATCGTTATCCAAAGAATCATTATCTTCGTCTGTGTAAAAGTAAAGAATAGAATTTAGCATAAAAAAATCCCAAAACACTCCAATTACGGAGTCCCCACTGCAACAACACACACACACCATAAAAAAAGTAGACATAACTTATTTAACACTTGTTTGTGTATAATTTTTGATAATGAAGATCTGTTTTTTTTTTTTATATTCCTATTTTTTTTTTGGGGGGGGGGGGGGGGGGGGGGGGGGGGGGGGCGGGGGAGGGGGGATCCTGTAATTGAGCTCATCCTAGTAATATAATGTGATTATCAATGTTTATAAACAGTTATGCGTGGAAAATAACGCAATAAATTCAATTGACTCAACCACATGGCTTTACTTTGAATTACATTTTCGTTTTTCTTTTTTTTGAACTTCGATCGTTGGGAAGTCAAATCTCTAGAACTATATTAAAAATTTGCCAGCGTTTGTAATAAATTGAACATTCGCTGCAGTCAATTTTCTATATCGAGTGTGCGTCACTCTATACGTCACAGCGAAACTGCTTCTATACATTGAATTTGTATATCTGGTATAACAATTTGATATCAGTATGTCGTATTGTCGCTTTTTAGTAAATTTTAATATAATATTTTTCTTCGATGGTGATAGATGAGCTATTCAAAGTCGGTTTCGATTCATATTTAGGTATACATGGTGTCCATAAAGTCCATTTACAATTTAAATTTGGTTATGAAGTCAGATTTCAATATATCTTAACCACCTTTGTTGTTTTAATCAGTAATTGTTGAGGTATTTTTACTTCATTTAAAAAATTTGTGAGGGACAAAGCAATATAGGGTATCGATAAATACACTTTGCAATTTTAAATTTTTTGAAGACTTTATGGACACCCTATATATATATACAAGATTTCGCATCCCAGCCAATTTAGTCGCATTGAATATTAATTTCTCTTCCTCATATAAAACGGTTATTCATTTATAATACGCCTTTCGCCTCGAATAAAAACCCTTAATCAGAAACCATTCCTTTTTTAACGATGTGTAAGGATCTGATATTATTTAGAAAAACCGTAATCTCACCGGTTTGACACCGGATTAAGCCCACGGACCGTAGTTCGCCCATGTCAACGTTAGAGCGTTGGTTGGACCGCTTTACCGCGATATTGACATAAGATGCTGTCGTGCAGCACCTTATTACATAGCGTCAAACTTCTCTGTTGCCCGGGCGAGTTTCTGATAATGATGCCCCTTATACCTAACTTCAAAAACGAGAATATCGGTTAGAGACCGAAGAAAGTTAGGGGATCCCCCAAAACAGCGCTCTTACTCCATAGTGACACCTTGTGTCCCATTACTGATTAATTAATACCTCGCTAATTATACCACATAATTCATCCAAAATCAATTAGTTTCTGGTCCGACATATGATGAATGCACATGCAAAATTTGGAGCAGATTCAATCTCGCTTTCGTGAGATATTGCGTGCATATAACAGACAAACAGACAGACAAATACCTATCAACATACTTACCGATTAAAATCGATAAGTTATAATTTGGGGAATAAATAAATAATAGATATTGGATCACCAGAGAAGAAATAAATTAGAGGGCAAGTAAGAGTGATGTGTTTGTATTATTAAACAAGAGAGCTATGCTCAAATATATGGACACGTAGCGCCACCCAATGGCAATAATTTTGATGACGTCATAGCGAAAAAAAAGTAATAGCCTTCTGGAGAAAAATTTTATCTTTAACCACTGAAAATTTCAAAGCAATTGGTCCAGTATTCGAAGCGAAAAGCGATTTTTTATTGATAATGACGAAAGAAAATAACAATAACAACAAAATTTTGAAACGATCGTTATGGCCACTAAACGTGTCCAATAAATCATCAATCTAAGCAACAAACCTATAGCTATTAAGTGCTTCCCCCGGCGGCTGCCCAATTTGCCCTTCTTTAGACACGCTTCTGCGTACAAGTCTGAATTGTTTTATACCTGTCATAAACGGGGCTGAAACATAAATTCGAATGTAATTCGGAAGCTCTTACCTGTTGACACTTCGCATCCCTTATACTCGTAGTTGATGATCAAATTCTTGCTTTCTGCACGCGTCGCTTTAAACTCTATAGAGCTAGGAAGATTATTAACTTTGATTATGATGTTGCTTGTCTCGGTCTCTTCTGCATTCCACTCGTCTCCAACAAGATTGCCCACATTGCAACTGGCTAAGTAAGGATAATAAATTACTCTCATCTTCTGTGCAATAACGCAGGTCTTTGGCAAACCTTAAAAACAAAATTGCTATTAGTTTGTATTCGATACGACATTATTATTCGATATCGTCTTCAAGAGATTATATAGTATTAAATTATTAGCACAGGATGACACAAAAACAGAACGCTGGTCATTTAGAACATATTTTAGAGCAGGGGTCGCCAAACTTTTTTGACCGCGGGCAAGATATGACTCAAACTGTGTTGAAACGGGCCAGACAAATATTTTTTTTAATGCAATACAATAAATTCACAAAAGTTGGGGAATCCATTCAATTTATTCAACAATAAACCGTAAATTCTGCATTTCTGAAGACTCGAATGTTGAATTCTATCTATATCGCAGAATATAGATCTATGACGTCATAGCAAAACAGATATACAAGATTTCTAGATCTATATACAACGATCCTGAGGTTAGCTGTTAGCAAAACATTGCTGTCAAGAATATCCGCATTTAGGCAGCACAAAAGTTAATTTGACTTGTGAAATTGGAGCAGTACGCGAGGGTACAGTACTATTAGCGCAAAATGCACTTTCGACGTTCATTATAGTCAGGGATCTCATCGATCTGGAACCCAAAATAAGAACGACTGGAAAAATTTCTGCAATATTAGCAGAAATAGCTGGCTTTCCTATGGTCTGCAGGTTAATGTCACAATTACAGACGTCACAGTGTGCGGTGCACTCACTCTCCAAGCTTCGTTGAACTTTGAATTCTTTTCCGTACTCATCACGAAAAACGTTCTTACGCTTGCTCATTTTTAAATTTAGGCTAAAATAACCATCACGATAAAACCTAATGATCGCCACACTAACGATGCCTCATGCCTATCTGTGCCTTGTTTCTTTATGTTCCAAATAAGATTGTGGTGCTTTTATGATGCCACAATAAAGTTTTGGCGATAAGACAAACAACACAAAGCTTCCTTTATGAAGTCTAAATATGACAAAATAAGGACACGCAAGCCAAAATTAAGGACAATCCTTAGAAATAAGGATGGTATGGAATCCCTGATTATAGCGCAAGTAACGTACACAGCAACAGTTTTGCAGAAAGCACGCGCCACGAGTGTAAAACGTTGCTTACAAGTAGAGAATTTGAGCCTAATTTATTAAAGCTATTCCTAGGCTAATTTTTGATTACTACCATTAAACTACAACTTCTAAGAAGGCAAAGCAATGATTGACTTATTTGATTCATCGTTAAATTTCCGAAACACGACCAAAATCTAACGAATAGCATTCAAAATCGCAAAAACGAAGTATTGTTTACAACCACGACTGAAAATCTGTCTGAGTGGGTGTCTGAGCGTATGTGAAAAGACACATTGTTACTTCACTTTTTCGCATCTTGCTGATTGATCAATGTTACGAAATAAAAAAGGAAGCTGATTTTCGGGAAAACATCTCTTGTAAAACAAATTCGTCATTTTTTCGTGTTATTGCGGGTCAGATTAAAACGGCCCGCGGGCCGTAGTTTGGTGACCCTTGTTCTAGAGAGAACATAACTTTTGTGCAAAGTGTCCTAGATTACTGAGACTTTTGGGTGCATTCGCACACAAACGGAAGTTCAAGTGTTGAATAACTTTTCTTCATTTTCGAGAAAAAAAATGGGAAATTTATGAGTCTATGTTTATTTGGGTCATCATGTACTTGTTGTAATTATTTCAATGTAACTTTTCGAACAGACGCAATAGAAATTTAAAAAGGAATAATGAAATAAATATTTATTAGGATGCGTTTTCGAATCTGACTACTAATTTGAATCTAGCACTTGAAAATAGGGTAGAAATTTTGTCTCGAACAAAAACAATACCACGAAAAACAGCAATAACAATTTAGGCAAGGCGGGTGCCGATGGTCTCGGAATTAACATGGAACTATGTATCTTAGTATATCGCGCTGTAAATCTGTTAAAGAAAGCAGTGGTAAAAAGTCTGTTCATAATGAAATCCGTTTAAAACGTGAAATAAAAGGGTGAATTTCAAGGTGTATTTGGTGACGGATAATTTCGCCAACTCGAGGGTAGATGATAGTAAGAATAAACGAGTCTAAATATAACGTTGGAATGAAAACGTTCAAACAAAAGTTTCAATTTTGAATTTGTGATTTTTACGAAGCTTATTCACGTTTTTCGCTTTGAACAAGGCAGCCACTAATATCTAACGTAAGGAACTACTATTAATTGAAAAGAAGCTTGGCATTAACCACCCAATTTAATGAACTCTGGGTGAAATGAGGGGCATGAGGTTTGTTATCTGCGATGTCACTACAGTTAGATCTAACGCTTTAGGTTTAGATCAAGGTGGTCAAAACCCAGGCCCGCGGGCCACATGTGGCCCACCGCTTCATTATCTGTGACCCGCGTTACATTCGTAGAGTAATCAATAAATAACATTTCGTGATGTTTCGTAATAAAATTAATCAGGAAACTCTTAAGACATATTGTTACATCACTAATGTCACGTCACGGGATTGACTAGTGTTATGGCAACTAGCGAAGTTGAATGATGCGCTTGGCAGTCTAAATTATTATCTGGCTTTCTATGATTGGTCGGGAATATATGCTAACAATATAAGCAGCATAGAAAACTAAAAATCGAATGTGGATTCTATTAGTCTGGAATGGCTATGTCTGACAACTATGTGTTTGCACAATAAAAGTGTTTGTTTTTCATTGAACTGTTTAGTGTTTACCTATTCTTTGCACTATTGTGGCCCGCGAACAATGCAAAAATAATTTTGTGGCCCGCGGAACCGACAGCTTCGGACCACCCTGGTTTAGACCATCGCGCCGCCCTAATTGGTTATACACAAGCGCTGCCTAAATCCTCAACTAAAAAAACGAGAATATTGGTCGGAGACCGAAGACTTATCGATCGAAAGTTGGGGGATCCCTCAAAACAGTGCTCTTACTCCATCGTGACACCTTGTGTCCAATCACTAATTAATTATTAACTCGCTAAATATACGACATAATTCATCCAAAATCAATAGGCTTCTGATCCGACATATGATGAATGCACATGCAAAATCTGGAGCAGATTCAACCTTGCTTTCGTGAGATATCGCGTGCATCTAACAGACAGACAGACAAACAGACAAATACCTATCAACATACTTACCAATTAAAATTGATAAGTAATGAAGAAAAAAATATGAAATTCGATTTTTAAAAAGATCATACCTGTTAGTTTCAAATATCCAGCGCAGTAATTGTTTGAATCAACCCAGTTGAGGGCTTGAATGGTTAAAATCAAGTATTGGTTGGGTGTGGTTTGGGTAGGAAATGGCCAAACACATGCTTTGCGAGGGATTTTATTGTATTCAATTACTCCACTAGTCTTCTCCTCATCGGCATTTTCCGGGCATTCCACGGTCACCACAGTAACACAGATAGCTGTGTATAAAAAGACATGCACTTATTTTCGAATACGACGATTATTCACTAACCTCTACAGGCAACAACTGGTATCTAACGATACATATAAATCCACTATTATTGGAAAGAAGGTATTACACACTGGGTGATGTAGTGGGCATGAGATTTGAACCCGAGATGTGTACATGAGATGCAAACACAGTTAGCGTTTTAACAGCTAAGCCAACAGTTATTTGCCGAAGGCTTGAAAAATTGTGATAAAGCTGATATACGCAATGTCTTAATAAGTCCTGGTTTTTAAGCCAGTGGCTGGATCAATGGTTTTCAACCTTTTTGGTGAAGTGGAACCCCTCAGTGAAATATATTTCAGATGCTCGAGATACCCTATAGCAGTGGTTCTCAATCTTTTATGGTTCGTGGTCCCCTTCCGGCGCCTTTTTGCTTTCGTGGTCCCCTGCACGTCATTTCAAAAAAATAGACGTGTTTGATTGTATTATGTTTTTACGACCTTCTATGGAATGCAAAACAAACCACAGACAAGAAAGGCCAAGCTTTTTAGTATACAATCAATAGGAATCTTGCGCTTGGGGTTGTTTGACGAGGTTTCTGATATTAGACACCGTCTTTGATATAGCCAGACGAATGTCACTGTCAACCTTGAGACGGTTATGATGCTAACAAGATCAGAAAAACCAGATTCGCACAAATAGGTTGTGACAAATTGAACAAGCAGAAACCGATGTCAACGTCTTTTTGTCACTTCACTCTTAGAGTTTAAATGGATGTAATGATTCACTGCTCATTACATACGAGTAATGCAGACATTGAACACATTCTCTGTCATCTCGAGTTACTTTGGTAAAGCCAACGTAACTGTCGTTCCATTTTCGTATATTGGGCATTAGGAATTCACATATAGGATTTTGCGTCTATAATGCGATAGCGAAGGTTATCTCACAGTATAGTGAAACCGCCCGTCTGCAGGTTAGACGACCTACCAGCGAACTATTTTGATTGGTGGATTCCAAATTCCATTAGGATCGAACAATTCACGAACAAAATACCCTAGTTAGGTAATGAAACTGCAGTGAGCGCCAAAACGGAGAATTTCAGAAGAAAATTATGCAAACTATGTCGCCTTATGATCAATTATGGCCCGCGGACCAAGGGTTGGACGACCCTGATCTAGACCAACTTTAATCAAAATGATCTATACACATAATTCGTACCAGGAAATATCATGACCTAAGAGTCAATTTGAAATTTGTTAAAGCAATACCTTTGCGTCACGCGCCCTTTATCAGAAATAAGCTGGACATTTTTGATTACCTGATGATTTCAGAATTGAATCGAATATTTTTTTCTAATCGAATTTCGAATACTTGGAAGTTATGTAGTTATGTGAATTTTGTATTTTAATGGGTACTACAGACACATAAATTACCGAAAACATAGAATCCATCACATAGACCAGGGGTGGGAAATTACTTTTCTGAGTGGACCAGTCACAGATAATAGAATTTGTTACTGGGCCGAAGGTTCAAAACTCAATATGTAAAACTATGAATAAAAAACTTTATATTTACAAAAGCTAAGCTAACGTTTATATACTAATAATAAGCACAATGCAACAATCGGGGTCATTATGACTTTATTTTCATCAATATTTTCAACGGAAATTTATATTCATAACAATCGTAGTCGCAATTTCAGCAGATACTAGTGAGCCGGATGAAACAATACGGTTGGCCCAATCCAGCCCGCGGGTCCTAATTTGCCCACAGCTGACTTAGACAGGCCGAGTGGTTACGCACAATAAAAAACATGTTTCATCAATAACTCACTATGAAGAAAAGGGTCGTCTGTCAGAATTGTATTGTAAAAAAATTAGCTTCAATGAAAAAAAATTATAGTAGAATTGCCCTCGACCTTTGCCGGACGAGAAAAAACAAGTTGGCGGCGATTCGATATTTCGTCCGAACCTATTCAAATAATTTACTATTCGATTCAAAATGTCTACTCTAGACGTACTTGGTAATAAAAGCAAAATCTCTCAGCAAAATTACACACAACCATTGAATTACAAAAACCACTGAGACAATGCAGAATTATAGCTTACAATTACGCTTCAATCAATTACGCGATTAGGAAAACAGTTAGTGAAATATTAAATCTACCTGTTATTATTGCGATCATTAACAAGATCGATTTCGCCTGACCACCGAACATTTTGTGAAAATTTGATGCTGATCCCGGTTGAGGAATATTTCCTGTACTCTTGTTGTTATTTCGGCAAATATAACTTTATGCTAAATATCTGCAGCATGAATAAATAATTGTCATTCATATTAAACTGCTTTGAGTCACGAAAAATGCTCCAACCTGCCACAACCTCGATAATTCCGACTAATTCCCAACTTTCGCTTCGAACAAGGCCATGTGCAAGCATGTCTGTCAAGCACCGACATCTAACGGCATCTACAGAGTAACTATTTTTGTGAATCCAGAAATTTCTCGATTCGGCAGACTTATTACATTCGGGGTTAGGTGATGGAAAGGGGAATTAAATTCGAATCTTTTAAGCTAAGATGCCAATATAGTTAGGCCCAAAGCCTTTCGCTTCGCACTAGGCCCTGTACGAGAATTCACTGATATCTAACGGCATTCACGTAGTAACTATTTCTGAGAGAACCATAGTTTTCTCGATTCAGCATTGCCTACCCTGCTTATTACACTCAGCGTCAGGTGATGAAGATGGGAATTAAATCCGCGATTTTTAACAGGGCTGTCAATAAAGTTAGGCCCAATGTCTTTCGCCTCTAACAGGGTCTCGTACAAGAATCCACTAATATTTAACGGGCTCTACGGTGTAACTACTTTTTATAAGATACCCTCGCTGCCGCTTAGAAGTCACAAAGATTACATCGGGCTTAGTAACAGGTCACCGAGGATACACAACTGCTTATCACTATTCAAGTAGTCAGCGTAACTTACAGTTGAAGTCACTCAAGAGTTCACCACCTTTTGTTGCTCTATACCAGACATGGGCACACTACGGCTCTCGGGCCAAATCCGGGCCGTTGGGTATTTCAATCTGGCCCGCCTGATGCTTACACAACCAAACTAAAAATTTTGATGTTTCAGTTAAAACTATCACAACGAATTTGTTGTGATTGCCATCAAATTTAGTTTTGTCACGAGGCTTGCTTTTGTAACACTGTGAATATTGTTCCTAAAATTTAACCTTTACGTCACACTTACATGGCCCGTCAGTCTAGATTGGCAAAATGTTTGGCCCCGGGTCTGAAAACCTTGCCAAGCCCTGCTCTATACTGGTACTATAGCAACAATAAAGATGACTCCTTGCTGAATACCAACACAAATGTATTTCTGTGACGTTTCATCTGACTGAGGTCAGACTTATTTTGTCAGGTATATTTCAACGGTGATAGTTGGAGTGGAACAGTCAATAAAACGTTACAGAAATATATCTGTGTCAGCAAGACTCTTAAATCATATAGAATTGCCATTTCACATTTCACCAAGGGCGCAAAATGCAATATTTGGGTGTTCTGATTCTCTAAAACCTTTCAACTTTTAGCTACGAAAATAGTAAGCGTAATAGTAAGCGGCAAGACTCTTGGGCGCTCCAGTAGTATGTCTAACAATATACTAATTTTGTTCGCCTACTTTACATCAAGTTGTTTAAATGGACTGAAGCCTATGGGCAGAAGGTATATTCACTTGGCTAACACAGACAGTCCCCGAACTCGTATTAAAACTAAAATAAAGAAAATTGGAATAAAGTTATGGCCTAACCCCAACCTGATAGACATACTACGTGATTACCGACTCTTACATCAAATCAAGCACTCATACTGGTGAAACCCGCGCCTATTTATTCGCTGACTAGAGAGTTACATCAAAAAGCCAGCTGGCTGTCACAAAGCAGGAAGTGAGGCCTTGAACACAATTGTGTTCCAGGGATTTCATTAGTCAGGCAGTGCGGTGTATCGGTGTGCAATGCAATCAAAACGAAACTAAAAATAACAGGACGCTATTATAAAAAATGCAAGTTACTCATGCTTTTCACTGTCATTAAGATTTTTGTGCTTGCGTGGCTCATGACAGAAAAGACGGTACTCACGAAGTATGTGTACAGGGTTAGGGCATAATTTTATTTTGAATTTGCTGATTTTAGTTATATTAGAAAATCGGGGCCTGTCTGTGTTAGCCAAGTGAATATACCCTCTGCCCATAGGTTTCAGTCCCTTTACACCAGGGGTCACCAAACTACGGCCCGCGGGCCGGATCCGGCCCGCGACGTCATTTTATCCGGCCCGCGGTGTCATTTTATCCGGTTCGCAATAACACGCAAAAATGGCTAAATTTTTTTCCAAGGAAGATTTTCACGAGCATCGTCGTCCTTGTTTATTTCGTAACATTGGCCAATCGGCAAGATGCAGAAAAGTGACGTAATAATAGGCCTTTCGGCATCCGCTCAGACACTTTTGTCACCCTGACAGATTTTCAGTCGTGGTTGTAAACAAAACTTCGTTTTTGCGACTTTGAATGCTACCAGTACGTAACGTTTTCTGCTATACACTTGTACACTCGTGGCGCTTGCTTTCTACGAAACTGTTTGTTTTTCGTGCTAAAATAAACGTCGAATGTGCATTTTGTGCTAACAGTACTGTAATCCCTCGCGTACTTCTCCAATTTCAAAAGCCACACTAACTTTTGTACTGCTTTAATGCGGATATTCATGTAGGTATGTTACAAAAAAATTGAAGTTCATCCGATTTAAATAAAAACTGCTCCAGTGGAAAGATCTGAGTAAAAATAGAAAACAATACCAAGTTTGGAATAAACGGTCAAGAAATAACGGAGATATCGGAATTTTAGTACCGCGCGACAGCCAATTTTTTCCATAATGATTGTATTACTCTTTTGATAAGAACTGTACTAAATATGGAAAAATAAGACATATCAATCACTAATCTTTCGATGTGCGTCACATCTATGGTATATTGAGATAATTTCAGGATTTTATTCTGGCAACGGTCATTGACACCGCCGAAAGATCGTCGCAAATAAACGCGGGAGTTGTGCATGATAGTTTGACAGTGGTTCATTGTGGGTAATAATTAACGATGTTCTGATTGTACGAACTTCATAAAAATTGGTAGGTAAGTATCAAGTTAGACAAGAAATACACACGTCCATATAAATTTCATTGGTGTCCATAGACAATATCAATAATTTGCACTACGTATAACTGGGGCGTAATTTTTAAAAGCGTCGAATGTTGGGAAATTTATGCGCTAATGAAAAAATTCAAATACCAGATAATAGTTGTTTATTTTATCTAAATTATGTCAAAATTTCATAGAATTCCAAGCTACAGCAGGCAGTCGTTTTTATGAGCGGTATTTCAACACGGCGTAACGGTACTTAGCAGACGTGATGCGTACATTTTTTGCCGCGGATTTTGTAACATTTCTAATTCATGACAGCAACGTTTTGATAACAGCTAAACTCAGGATAGTTGTCTAGATATATAAATCTTGTTAATTTTTTTTCCTAGGATGTTCTCGATCTATATTCTGCGATATTCTCAACATTTGTGAATTTATTGTATTGCATTGACAAAAATATTCATCCGGCCCGTTTCAACACAATTTGAGTCATACCTGGCCCGCGGTCAAAAAAGTTTGGTGACCCCTGCTTTACACACTTGATTTAAAGTAGGCGAACAAAATTAGTTACCTCCATATTGGTACTCATACTTCAGAAGCGCCGAAAAGGCATTTTTATATCGCAGAAACTCTGCCCTAACGGTTTAGGATAATTAGGTTTCATACGATATTTCACTTGCTTGCGGTATGTTCAGTTATTTCTTCACGAAGTTGAAGTGAATGTTATTCAAACCTGTTATCGGGAATAGCAATTAGCAACATTCAATTTTTTTTTTAAATAAAAAAAATGTCACCCAAAGAAACAACATGTAACTAATCACCATAGACTATGAGCGAATGAAAATAAATACAATTATCGGCTAGATTTTGGAAGAAGCCGTAACCGATCAGCGGCGGCGGCGAAGAGTCCATCAATTCTTTCGCACAAAATTAGCTTTGTATGGGATTCATGCTAGCTACGAAAGTATATTTGTGTTAGTAAGCAGCAAATCTCATGAATCAAATCAACTAATCAAACTGGCAAAATCTCCGCCAATTTATCTGCTGACTAGAGAGTTACACCAAAAAGTCAGCAGGCCGTCACAAAGCAGAAGGCACACAATTGTGTTCCAGGAATTTCATTAGTCAGTTTGTGCAACGGTATCTGGGTGCAATGCAACAAAATAGAAACTAAAAATAACAGGACGCTATGATAATAATGCGAGTTACTCATGTATTTCCCAGTCATTCAAAATTTATGTGCCTGCGGAGCTCGTGAAAAGAATTTGTTATTTCACTGAAACGATGCCCTAATGGTTTAATTATGTTTTATACGAAATTTCATTTTTTTGCGTTATGTTCAAATATTTCTCCACATAGTTGAATGTTCTTTGAACCTGTCATCGGAAATAGCAACATTCGAATTTTTCTTGAAAAAAAAAAGAATACAATTTTCGAATCAACTGACCCCCCCCCCGGACCCGCATGGGGAGGAGATTTTCAGTAGGACTCTCTTTGGGGGCTGGGGGGATTCTTCAGTTGGTCTTAGTTGGGGTGGAGATTCTTCATTTGGGTACCCTGATCTTCTGTTGATCCCAATTTTCCAACAAAAGAAAAAACATTTAACTTAACTTATTCACCATAGACTGTATACTAAGAGCAAATGAAATAAATATAATTATTGCAAATGTTTCCATGATGTGATTCAAACCTTTGTTCGGGCGGTTCCAGAAAATTTCGCCACAGGAAATTTTGCCGCAGAATAAAAAGAGTTAGGTTTTTAAAGTATATTTTTCTTCAAAAAAAATCGTTATTTACGAGTATACCCTAACCCTATAAACCTACTGTTTTTATCACATATACCGGTACTTGTTTCACAGCAAAATGCTCTTGCGGCGATTTTTCAAGCGGCGAAATATCTTACGGTGAAACTTTCGGACACGGTTTCTTCTGAACAAGGTTTTGACCGGCACTGACATGTACGGGTAGCGACATAATAAGATAGAATTAATGAAACGCTATCAAAAATGTGAGCATTAATCATGCTTTTTACTGTCATTCAAAATTTATAGGCTTGATTGCCTGGCGATTTAAAGCGTTAGATTTATTCGTGTTGGCATTGCAAGGTACGCAT